TAATTATAATTCTTTTATCATGTTTTTATGATTTTGATTAATGATTAATTATTATCCTTAATTAATGACTAAATAAAATTATTCTTATATAATTATGAACCGTATATTAATTAGATTTACTACCCTTAATGACAAGCAAACATAAACTTAATGACTAATTAGATTTATTACTATATAATGACTAATTAGATCTATTACTGTATAATAATTAGAAACAAATCTTATTTGTCATGTTTCTTATGATTTGATGATTATCATTATCTAGAGTAATGATTATAAAAAAAAAAAAGAGTAATGATTATAATAATTTGAATTATTAGTTATATAGTAATAAATCTAATTAGTCATTAAGTTTATGTTTAATTCGCCATTAAGGATAGTAAATCTAATTGTCATGTTCTTATGAATTTTACTACCTTTAATGACAAAGCAAACATAAACTTAATGACTAACTAGATTTATTACTATATAATGACTAATAGTTATTACCATTTGACCAAAAAAAGATTTATTACTATATAATTATTAAAAAATTCATTATATAATTAAACATAAGTAAAAAACGAATTTCAATGATCTTAGATTTATCTTTATCTAAAACTATTTTATATTGGGTTATAAAATCTTTATTAACCTTGAAATATAATTATATTTTTAGTAATGTATCATTAATTATAAATAAAAAACGAATTTCATTTATTTGATAATCATACTTATTTAATTTTTTTATATTATCTCTATATCAACATTAAAAATAATTATATTTAAAATAATTATATTTGTTAATATATAATTAATTATAATTAAAAACAAATTTCGTGAATTTGATAATTATCATTATCTAATTTTTATAATTCTGTTATAAGTCTGTATTAACCTTGAATAATAATTATATTTGTTAATATATATTTAGTTATGAAAAAATAATTCGCAAAGAATTTATGTATAGATAGTTTACATTACTAAATATAATTTTATTATACTTTTTTGTTATGTCTAAAAATGATATTAATTTTTTACTAAATATTTTAAATTTATGAATATTTTCACATTTAATTTGTGTATGACAAATATTTATATGATGATGAAAAAATTTATATATAGAAAGAATTTGTTTAGATTATTATTAAATATTTTGAGTGTATGAATAATAATTTATTCTAATTTACTTAAACTGATTATATTTGAATATAGATATTAGGAAATTATTAAGTCCGCAAGTGCGGGCAAAACACCTAGTATAATAGTATATATTTGTTGTCATCAAACTAAAATTAATACTTATTAATTCGCATTTAAAATTGAAACGGTGACTTTACAAAAAACTAACAGCTGCAGATGAACAAGGCAATGAATGTAATAACTTCGGTCAGAACTTTAACAATGTCATGTCGTATTTGACATACCGCGTTTGACTAATGAACATTTCTTCTCCACACAACTACACATTCACATACACATACGCCACTATTACTATATCATTGACTAAGCCGTTCGTATCTATATAAATAGTAGTATAATTTTTAACATATCTACATATATTCCTCTTTATATATCTTCTTTACTTGAGATAACAAACAACCAACAATTCTTTTTCATTGTTGAGTAACAACAAAAAAAAAGTATATTCTTCACACGAATACAAAGAGGCTTCAGAAAAGAATGGGGAAAAACTTGTTCCGATCATCTCCTCCACCGGAGAAACAACCACCTCACCAATCTCTAGCCGAGACAGCTGTACAAGAGTGTATGAGAAGCATCAACACCGTCATATCCAAATGGACTTCCTCTTCCTCTTCTTCCTCCGACGACTTCTTATTTTCCACCAATAGTCGTCACGAAGCAGAGGAGTTCGTTGAAGCCGTTAAACATTTACAGAGCACCATGCACCGTTTAGTCACCGTTAACCCTTCCTCGGAGAAACTTGTGTACGCTCAGAAACTGATGCAATCCGCGATGAAACTTCTCGAATCCGAGTTTCGCCGCGTGTTGAATACAAACCGTGAATATCTCGACCCTGAAAGCGTCTCTGTACGGTCATACAGATCATCAAGATTCAGCACTTCCACCACAACCAGTGTATCCGATTCTGAAGACGAAAGTTCCTACGATGAAAACCCTGACGATCACACCAGAGATTCCGACGCAATGGACGTTCTTAAAACGATAGCAGACTGTATGATCTCTACAGGATACGCCAAAGAATGCGTCACGGTCTACAAAACCGTACGTAGATCAATAGTTAACGAGACGCTCCACAACTTGGCCGTGGAGCGTCTCACTCTGAATCAGATTCAGAAGATGGACTGGGAGACACTCGAGTCCAAGATCAAGTCGTGGCTACGAGCTGCGAAGTTAGCTGTCCGGTCTCTCTTTTTCGGCGAGAGGCTTCTCGCTGATCATGTCTTCTCCTCCTCCATTCACATAGTCGAATCCTCCTTCACAGACATCACGCAAGAAGGAGCGTTAACGCTCTTCACCTTCCCTGAAAACGCAACAAAAATCAAGAAACTATCACCAGAGAAGATGTTCAGGTTTCTTGATATGTACGAAACGCTCTCGAGTCTCTACGTAGAGATCGAAACGATCTTCTACTTCGACTCGGCCGCCGTCGTCAGGTCTCAAGTGATCAACTCCTTAGCGAAACTCGGAGATTCCGTGAGGACAATGATGTCAGCGTTTGAAACAGCGATTCAGAAAGAAACGTCTAAAACGCCAGTCACTGGCGGTGGCGTTCATCCTCTCACGCGTTACGTCATGAACTACCTCTCGTTCCTCGTCGATTACAGCGAGTCCATCGCTGTAATCTTCGAGAACTGGCACTTAACAGTGCCGTCTCCCTTTCCGGGAGGATCTTGCGACGATGATCCGGAGGAGTTCTACTCGGAATCTCCGGTGTCCGCGCGGATAGCGTGGGTGATACTTCTCACGCTATGCAAAATCGACGGTAAAGCTCAACCCTATAACGACGTCGCTTTGTCTTACCTCTTCCTCGCTAATAATCTCCAATACGTCGTCGTAAAGGTCCGAGCGTCGTCTAGTTTGAAGCTTCTTCTTGGTGAGGGTTGGGTGGTGAGGCACGAGGAGAAGGTGAAGCAGTACGTGGATAAGTTCCAGAAGCTCGCGTGGGGGAAAGTGCTGACGTCATTACCGGAATATACGCCGGAGGAGATGACGCAAGAGGAGACTGAAGAATTGTTAGTCAGGTTCGATGATGAGTTCGAGGCGGCGTACAGGAAACAGGTATCGTGGGTTATACCCGACCCGAAACTTAGGGACTTGATCAAAGTGTCATTGAGTCATAAACTAATGGTGGTTTGTACCGAGTTGTGTGAGATAAACCGGTTCGGTTTGGGAGGAGATGCGTTTAATGTCAGATATACCCCTGAAGATATAGGAAACTACTTGTCGGATCTTTATTTTGGAAGCCGAGGCTCAGGGACAGGAAGTGTCTCGACAAAAGGATCCGGTTCTGGAACCGGTTCGTCGAATACCGGTAAATCTCGGGGTGGACGTAGCCATTGAATGAGAATCACGTGATGCATGGTAGTATCGTATTAATTTTTCTTTACCTGTATATATATGTTAAATTATTATTGATATTGAATTCTCCTTTTTTTATCATATAGTAATCATTCGAATTTTCTTGGAAATTTGTGATTAATAAGGACAACAGAAAATACGATGATTGTTTCTTAAGTTTTAAAATTTAATAAGAACAAAAGACAAATTAACAAGTAGCTATCACTCATGGTGGCCAAGTTTTAGTTTGAAACTATGTTCGGAGTCTTTAGACCAAATCTGGTTTTGGTACTAGTATATAACTACAAGTTGGTTATACGAGTTACAAAATATTAAATATGAATACAAAGGCGTTGACCAAAAAAAATGAATACAAAGGCAAATTGCTTACCGAATAACAGGAAGCATTGCATTAAATTTGAAACGAGACAGAGAGGTTGAGAACAATCATGAATCTTATCATATGTACTCACTAATGCTATTTAATAGGCGACTTGGAATACGCAAACCTAACGTATACGTCAAAGATATCTAACATGCATCCTCTTTATAATGTGGCTGGGGCATGTTAAAACTTAAAAGTAGTCTGTGACTCTTGCGTTCATTACACGTATCTTTATTTCACATACTTACCCTTTGACATTAGAAAAATTATTCGACACTAATATATCAAAAGTTTTATATTCGTTTATTCATTAGGATAAAATCTTACATATTACAATATTCATGATTTCAAGGAAAGTAGCGACAATCTTACAACAACGCAAAAAAACCAAAACAACACACAAATATTTTAATGTTTTATTCCACACACTAAATCATCAATGTTCATCGTCATCAAGAGTGACTTTAGCCAGAGATATCAATAGACTTGACTTCAGGCTTCTTCTCAGGAGCCTTTGGTACCGTAACCGTAAGCACACCGTTCTCCATCGTCGCCTTCACTTCCTCTATCTTCGCATTCTCAGGCAACTTAAACCTCCTCATAAACTTCCCACTTGCCCTCTCCACACGGTGCCACTTGTCGTTCTTCTCTTCGTTCTCTTTGCTCCCCTCTCCGCTTATCTGAAGTATGTTCTTGTCTTCAACCTCAACCTTCACTTCTTCTTTCTTCAGCCCCGGCAAGTCTGCTTTGAACACGTGTGCCTCTGGTGTCTCCTTCCAGTCAACTCTTGCGTTTGTGAAAGCTGCAATGTCACGAGCGGAGGAAGGCGTGAAGAGTCCTTCAAATGGATCCCATGCATCTAGAGAAAACGGATCGAAAACGTTTGACCTGCGTCCTCCAAAAAGGCTTGGAACTAGAGACATTGTTGTTTTTCGAGAGACTTAACTATGCTTCTGTTCTTGATTTTCTTGTTGCTTTGATCTGATTTTTATCAGAGGGGTACATATATATAAGGTAGTGGTGGATGAAGAGGGAACGTTCTCCGAGTTTCTTGAAATAGAAAGTGCTCTTTCTTTTTCTGTAACCTTCGTTTAATGTCTAGATTCTAAACAGTGACCAGATTGTTCTTGGCATTTCAGGAAGTTTCGGTTGTTGAAAGAAAAACGACGTGCATTCCTCAGTTAAAACATAAACGACGTGCCGTTCTGTGCCTAGTGAAGATGGTCTTCTTTGATAAAGTCCCAATCTCGCTTTACGACCTTAATTAAGAAAGTATCCATCTGCATAGCTCAATATCTACCTCTTGTATAACCAAAAAAAAATCTACCTCTTGTATAACATACTAACGACAATAATTAAGTAGTAGATACACCACATTCTTGTCATGTAACGTCAACAGGCTGAATATGATTTTATTATAGGACAAATAAAAAGAAAAATCAACTAGAAATTTGAGGTTAAATTTTGAATAAATTGTGAAGATGGGTTAATGGATCTTGCAATGGAGAAAAAGAGAAAAAAAAAGCTTTACACTGTAAAGATGCTAATAATTGAACAAACCTACTTGAAGTCAATGCTGTAGCAAGGTTGGTCTCTTTTCCATGTGCTCGTACTGAACTACACAATGTTCCTGCAAATAAACCATCCACACTTAATACACTGCAAATTTTAAAGTACCAACAAAATACATAATACACTGCAAATAAACCATCTACACTTAACACACTTCAAATTCCAAATCATGGAATTACCTTTCTGACTGTTTTGAAGGAGTTTGGATCGAGGTACTCGTATGTTCCTCTTTCATATACAGCTGTTCTGACCAAAGGTTCCCCTACTCTGAAGAACCATAACTTATGTTCCTTATGGTAAAACCAACCTCTTTCGTAACTGCAAATTAACAATCAGACTCATCAGCATTAGCGCAAGAAAGCAGAGTGAAAAAATAATCAAAGATTATGAAGGAGATAAAAATATACAGTTCATCTGCTGCGTATAGCTGTGCTTCATCTTTTGGCATACTGAAACAAAAATTAGAGCAAAGTAAATTTGTTAAAAATGGAAAAAGATGATTCATGAGTTGGTAAATGAGATGTTGAATGCTGATCTTTTAACATACCTGTAAAATGTGTAGAACAATAACTCAAAGGAGAACCTACTGAAACTTGCTCGCTGCAACCAACGGAAATGATTTGTTAACAAAAGAATGCATACTTGCTGCTACTCACAAGACCACAAGAGCACTTACAGTTAGAGGAGGAGGTGGTGTGGCGTAGTAACAACTTGGCACTGTGAACTCAACCTCTGTCTTTGCAGGTTCATTGGTCCAAGGGGAAGCAAATGTCTTGTAGAGATTCCCAGTTGAATTCAAATCCAATCCTAGCGTCGTTAAGTCGATGCCAAGAGCAAGAGAGGTTAAATCAGGGTTGGTTCTGTTTAGTACGTCTAACAAGCCAAGCAAGCAAAAAGGATCTGCCTCCGACTTTATCTCAGAATCTCTAAATTGGTTGATGGATGACATTTGTTTCACAGGGAACTGGGATTGCTGCTGATACTGCTGAATAAGCTGATCATAACCGTTACTGGAAACTGAATTGGGCGAGCTTAGAGGTCTCAAGCCAAGACCTTGTAGCCCACCAGATGAAGTATGTTGTGGCTGTTGCTGTGTACGATGTGATGGATATGTTCCCCCTAAGTTGAAACTACCAGATCTAGGCATCTGCAAATTTGCAATACCAACATAAACTACCATATCAAGGCAGTAAAACATTTTCTTAATTTCGAAACAGTCTGAAACTTACAGAAAAGTTTTGAGAATGCATCATTGACATAGCATTTTCATGGAGTTGTTCTTTCTGATGCAAATCCATTGGATAATCAGAATTACCACCTGCAAAAATCTACTAGGCTTGTGAATGGTCCAGCAGGTTTAGCTTATAGCATTCAAAAACATTTTATAATCTTTCTGATGCAATATTCTACAATATGAAAGCAGAAAAAAAAATTAACCTCCAATGAAGACGATATTAAACCAGCACCTTTATATCCAGGAAGAGCTGGAAAGTCTTCATTTTGGATGCTGAACTCCTGATGTTGTTGGACAATTGGGACTCCTAAACCTTGTTTCCTCAAAGAGCCTAGTAAAACCCACCACAAGAGTATGAGGGAACAAGACATGAAATATAATGTACTTCAATAGAGCTTTAGATAGATTGACTACCTAGTTGTCCTTGAGAGCCATTAGCAGAACCAGGACGACTTGTCAGCTGGGGGAAATCGTTATTAATGTCAAAAAGAGAACTGTCGTTAGAGTGATCACTGAGCATCATATTGTTAACATGGTTCTGCGAGAGTTGGCCGCCACCAGTATGGTAGGAGTTCCCCAGCATAGACATGACCTGAGATCCTGTACAATAAAATTTTGCAATCAGATTTGAACTGCTATATCTAAATACAGCACTTTCTACCTTATTGCATGTTTACATAAATAAGATTGCAACGTAAACAAGCTCCCTACAAGAACAAAGTATGTAAGTTGAAAACAAAGTCTGCTTCCTACTAACATGGTTCTGGAAAAGCAATAGACCAAAACAGCCAAACAAGTTCACTAGCTGATGTGATTCGTTCTTAAATAACAACTTAATTAAAATTGCTAATTTACAAATTAATTTCTTTACATAATTTAAAAAGCACTCCTAGTTACAATACCAAAGAACCATAAACATAAAAGCATAAAGGTATCTTTCATAGTTGGAGCGGACTTTATACTTTGTTCCATGACAATGACATAACAACAAGATATACAAGGCTCATGTATCTCAACTTAGAAACAAAACAACCCCCAAAGACAGAAATTAATAAATCATATATACCTTGAGGAAGTCCTCCACCCAACATTCGGTTTTGTCCTTGAACATTTAATCCTGATCCATTTAGTCGTGAAGAAAGACCAGGAATAGACAATCCACCAGAGCTAATATTCCTCCCCAAGTTAACTCCACCAACCATGTTTCCCATTGCATTTGATGTTATTCTAGGACCAGCGTTCCCCAACAGCTGCGATATTCCAATATTCGAAACACTATTCCTATTACTGATCCCAGAAGATGTGGAGAGTATCCCAGGAATAGAACCACCAACTCCATTTGTGTTACTACTATATCCACCAACATTAATACCTCCTCTATTTTGTATTCCAGAATGCCCATGTGAGTTACCATGAGACAGCTAAAAAATCATCACCGTATAATATAAGATTCAAGACCAAGAGCAGTTGTTTTCACATAATGTCAAACCACATGGCACCTGGGCGAGAGCAGCAGGTAGGTTATTTGAAGAAAATCTTCCACTGGAAAAACTCCCGTTAGGTTGTTGTACACCAGGAGATGGTATAGTATTCATACTTGAGTTTCTTGATGAAAGTGTACCTTGAAGGTTATAACTCCCATGAAGGTTATGCAGTCCCTGAAGATTTCCTGCAATGAAATAAAAATGGTGAAGCTATGTAAGTTCAGAACAGAGCAAACTATAAAAAGGTTTTAATATAAGTATCAAACCCACCAGGATGATGAAAACCGGGAGAGGGTGGACCAGGTTGTCCAGAATAGGAAGAAGCAAAAGATCTGACAGAGACATCTTGTAAATTCGAAGCTGAACCATTGAGAGATGACTGCAAAGCCATACAGCACAGATAAGGAGATATTTTCACATAATTAAGCAAACAATATCTTTAAAGACACCAACATATTCTTAAGGTTTAAATGTATGATTAGGGGGAAATGGAAGGTATACATGAATGTTCGACATTGCACTGAGCTGACAAAATATATAACACGTTGACAAGACTCGAACCACCTACAATCTGAGAGAGGGAATATACAAAATCACACGAATTAATAACACTCAAACATAAATCTTAGTAATTCACTGTACAATTACATACTACTGTTTATCAAGAATCTAGAAGATTGGCTATATACACGCATAAAAATACACTAAACAGCAACCATGTGATAAACTTCTAGAAACACCAGAACGTGAGTTCAAACAGAGCAATGTGATTTCAATAGCAAAGTAACAAAATTGAAGTCCTAAAGTTCCCTGCTCAGTGACTCACAGTACAAAAGAGAAGGAAGAGGATAACACTGCGCAATTGGCAAACCTTAGGGTGTATTGGTGCAGATTCGTTGATTGTGAGGAGCCTAGCGGAGATTTTAGAATATTTTTTTTTTGAGTTCAGAGATTGGTGCCCTAAATCGAATACGACATAGAATACGGAACAAGATTTAGAAAATGGGAATCTAAAAAAAATATTTTATTTGTCCGAATGATTGATTGGTAATAAAGAGACCACCATTAAGATGTCATGAGGTTCCCACAAAGCCTCTAAACAGACAAGAGTGTTTCTGTAGGGGAAAAAAAATTAATTACCGACTAAAGTTTTAAGCCCAATCTAAACAGGCCCAGTATTTTCGTAGATAATTTTATCTTTAGGGTTGTGTTTTCAGTGAGAGAAAAAAAAAAAAGATAATTCGTAGATAATTTTATCTTTAGGGTTATCTTTAGGGCAGAAAAAAAAAAGATAATTGTTCAGCTCAATAAGAAGACATTCCAGATTCATAAACTTAAAATAGCTTCATAGATAAAAAGGCGTAATTACATATAACGAAACGCTACCGCAACACACAGACCGTACCCAAACATAATTAAAAACGCAAACGCTAATGAAAACATGATTTGATTAGAAACTTCCGTAACAACACGCCTAACGAAACCCAGAAACGCAAACGCGAATCTGAAAAAAAAACACTTAACCGCCGAACCCGTAAAGAGTCCTGCCTTGCCTCTTCAAAGCATAGACAACATCCATAGCAGTCACGGTCTTCCTCCTAGCGTGCTCGGTGTAAGTCACAGCGTCACGAATAACGTTCTCCAAGAAGATCTTGAGAACGCCACGTGTCTCCTCGTAGATCAAACCACTGATACGCTTGACTCCACCTCTACGAGCCAATCTGCGAATCGCAGGCTTGGTAATCCCTTGGATGTTGTCTCTCAGAACCTTCCTGTGTCGCTTGGTATAGAAGATAAAGATAAATCCTAGAGATAATGATCATTATCTCTAGGATTTATCTTTATCTTCTATACTTGGCTCCTCCCTTGCCCAAACCCTTTCCTCCCTTTCCACGACCAGACATTTTTTTGTTATTTTTTTCTTGAGAAAACTTTAATGTGTTGATTATAAGAGTTGAGAATGTGGAATTGGTTTTATAGGGAAGACGGGGAGCCTTGTGATTTGAGAAATTAGATCTCATAGTAGATCTAACGGCTGAGATATCGATCCGTGTGTATAGTTAAAAGATGTATGGACCGTCGATATGTTTTAATCAACGGTGGAAATTAGTAATCCGCGTGGTGGATGTGTTAGCCAATAAGAATCGTTTTTGGTTTTACCTGAGGCGCCAGGAATTTGGGTAATGAAGCGCCAATTTTTTAGAACTCGTAAAAAACTCAGTTTTGCGCCAAAACAAATTATTTGAAACTTTTTCATCACATGCGTTCATTAAAACAACTAAGTAACATGTTACGTAATACACGCAAAGCATATATACTTGGTCCTTATTAACTAGTTATCTACCTTATTTAAGTGGTGTACTATATCCTTATAGGGCTTGTGAATGATTTAGCTTCCTCTGAGTAAATATTATAAATTGATTAGGATGTTAGAGCATGGTTATCATTTAATCATCACATTCCATTCCACCACCAAGGGTGGCGTTGCTGTTTAACGTGAGATAGATGACATTCATTTCTTTAGAGGAAAAAATGTCAGCTACAAGAATGATATACCACTACATAACTACATATGTGGAAAATATTTTATAAAAACTATTTTATGATGGTTATGGTGTTACCAACATAGCACATAATAATTCAGAAATGTTCTCGTATGAATTATATAGTTGATAATCTTCAATACATTTCTTTTGTCTACATTTATAACTATATGGTAGTGTATTATTCATGTAGTTAGCAATAATTTTTTCTTCTTCATGCCATACAGGCCTGATGACATATCAGCAAAAAAACTCATTGAAGTTCTGTATATTAACCAACAACGACCAGATTCAAACGTTTTTTCTTCCATGAAACTATATATATTTATCTCAGTCAAATTATTACAAATGTTTTATTTTATTTTTCGCAAAAAAAAATTGAAGACCAAACTATATATATTTATTTCAATCAAAATATTACAAATGTTTTTTTTTAATTTTTTTCCAAAAAAATTTGAAAACCAATAGGCACACAAAATATTACCAAGGTTATTGTACTTGTGATACGTGACACTATCTTGCTGTGGGAATCATACCACTATCAAAGGTCGTGCTCACTTCAGTGGAACTCAGTGAATCCATTCTTGGACTCATATTTCTCCTCGAGTTTTCAGCTACAACACACTCTTTTAGTTCGATAACAACATGAGACATGGTTGGTCGTCTTGCTGAAGTTGGATCAGCGCAGGACATTGCCAGCTCAAGAGCTCTCCAGGCAGAATGTGAATCATAATCCCCGTGAAGATTTGGATCCATGATCTTTGCAATATCCCCTCCGTTGAGCTCAGACCCAACCCATTGTGTTATGTGAGAATTTCTTCGGTTTCGATCAATCACTGGTTGGTTTGTGATAATTTCCAATAACACAATGCCGAAACTGTAAACATCACTTTTCTCACCCAACCGACCTGTATGGTAATACCTACAAGGCAAGAAAATGCTATATTTCTCAAGCATTGTAGTGGAGAACAACTTATAGCACATTGTAATGTTAATGATCATGCTAGGGAAAACATAGTGTTTTATTTATAAATTAAATTCAGAAACACTGCAATAATAAATGTAAAAACGTTTTAATGTTCAATTAATTTAACATTTTTTCCAGAAAAATAATATTAATCATCATGTACTTACTCAGGATCCAAGTAACCAGGAGTACCAGCAACCACCGTTGAAACGTGAGTTTCACCTCCAATTGGGAAAGACCTGGAGAGCCCAAAATCAGCGAGTTTGACCTTGTAATGCTCGTCCAACAATATGTTTGTAGTTTTGACATCTCTATGAACCATTGGTGGTGTGCACCCAATGTGTAAGTACTCCAAACCTATGCAATGGATTCATCTAGATCAGTTGATTATTGTAAAACCAATATAGTAATATTCCAGTTTTACGGTTTAATTTAGTACACACCTAGTGCTGCTTCCACAGCTATCCTTAGCCGAATACCCCAATTGATGACAGATTTGCCTCCTTTTCCTGTGTAACTAGATCATTAGACCCTTTCGAGACTTTAGGAAACATATGTTTTATGAACTTATGTAATAAATCACTAGAAAATTATACCCGTTAGATGTTGTCTTAAGTCTCCATTAGGTACAAACTCATAGATGAGGGCCAAATTTTCTCCTTCATCACAATATCCAACAAGGCTTACCAAATTTGTATGGTGAACTCTCAGTAGAAGGTCAACCTATATAATTCACCAAACAAGAAGTGAATAACATATGTGATGTTTAAAACATATATTATAAGTTGGAAGGATTGTACTATAAATACCTCTGCTTTGAACTCTTTATAGCCTTGAGTTGATGATTGAGATAGTAGCTTAACAGCCACCTGTTGAGAACCATTGACAGTACCATGACAAACAACTCCAAATCCTCCTTCCCCTACAACTCTTTCGAAATTGTTCGTCATTTGTATAACCTCTGAATAAGCAAACCTTCTCTTTTTCATCTCAATTGATGGCTCAGGTGAATGACCATATGTAACATTCACGGTAGGCATACTTGGTGGTGGGTCAACAACTGTTTAATCAGAATTCAGGGGTTAGATTAAAAACAATTGATCATAAGATTTATGGCTTCCTTATTTGATGGTCTCTCTTGAAAACTACCTTTAACAGTAGGCTGTTTTTTCTTTCTGAGAACAAGATATAGAACCAATGCGGCAATGAGGATAGCCACGGAACCAACAGATGCAACAATTGGCACTAAAAGGCTCTTTTTATGTGTTTTTCCTGGTGAACCAGATGTGGGGAAAATCCTTGGATTTCCTTCAAGACTACAAGAGAAAAAGTGTTGTTTCAAAACATCAAACGTACAAAGAAAAGTTCACAAGATATGATGAAAGTTTCTTACGCTAGCTTGATTCCTTTTCTCTGTAAAGATTGAGGAATTGAACCACTGAGATCATTCCCACTTAAGTTTCTGCATAAAAAAGAAAAATAAAACAAAATCAATTGAAAAGCATTAGAAAATAAGTTTGATACATACATCAGCATGATATGAAAGGGAGTTCGAAAGATACCAATAAGTATGCTTGTAAAAAAAACTTACATCACCAACAATAATTTCATGTTGCCTAGAAACTCAGGCACTTCTCCAGTTAGGTTATTGTTTGACAGATCCCTAATATGAAACTACATCAGATTTCTTTGCACACATATGATATAACAATGTTTTTCCTTAGAATGAGACATTCTTACAATTTTTCCAGTTGCGTAAGATTTTGAATGGCAGCTGCTATGTGTCCAGATAAACCACTTGAAGACAAGTTTCTAGTGATTGAAACCACATTCAGAGTCAGAGTGTTAATGATCATAATTAAATATCAGAGATTGATGAATGAATGCTAGTAAACTTATAACTTACAAAGAAGTGATTCTTGGTGGTGTGGAGAGATCCACATGGCTACAGTTTAAAGCGTCCCACCTAAGGTCTTGAGGGACACATGGATCGCCTTGCCAGTTGATTCTACTCAATCCATAAGTGGCTTCAATGTTTTTAATAGCAACCACTGACATTAAAAAATTTCAAGATTGTTAGAAGTATACTATACAAAAGAATCAACCATAATGCATGGAAACATACCTTCGTTCTCATTTGTTTCAGACTGTGGAAACTCGATAACTGTGTAGACTTCAATAGCGTTAAGTAGAGGTGGAAGGGTTGATCTGTTGGTTCTTTTCAGCTGAAAATAACATTCCCCTTCAGGGCAGGTCTTTGGCGCCACGCTATAGATGGTAATTATCTCTAACTCCCTAGGAATTATAGGGTCAGACGGCAAAAGTTCCCCATTCCATACCATGTTGAACTCCCTGGTTTCATTACTCCGCAGGTTTTGGATCTCAGCAAAGTGTCTATACACGTAATATTGGTCATCAGGTTTCTCCGGATTACTCCAGTAAATTGTCAATGGCTCACTGGCATTAGTAGGTATGGCTGCAGTTGCAAGTGCAGCTTTTGGTGGATTATATTCGTTGGTGTTTCCCACATCGCTAGTGGTGCTTAACTGAGTCCAATTTTCCGAAAAAAACGCAGTCCATTGGCGATCATAGTCATCGTTAGGGTACCTTAGGGTGGAAGACAGTAATGTTTAGCAGTGAAATAAGCAAATAAGAGTTTATGATTATTTGTAAACGCTAAGACGCCTAAATAACAATCTAGCCTTCCAATTAAGTATTTAGTGGCTAGACGTTGAATCACAGCCTGCTTAGCGACTAGCCATTTGAACAATGGATAATATTATCTGATTGCTCTCTGTTCATTTTTTTCTGTCTCATCTTAGCTTTATCCATGTTTGGGTTAAGTTGAAGAGCATTACCCGAAAATCGAACCAAAACCAAACAGAAAAACGGAAACCAAACTGAAATTTAGTAAAACCTGTACGATTCCTGTTTTTATAAATCCAAGAATCTAAACCAAACTAAGAACCGAACGGATACGTGAATATTCAAAATATAATAAAACATTAATTATTTTTAATTTTATATACATAAAATATAATTTATAAATAAAAAATTCAAACACCCCAAATTATCCAAATATTTTGCCGAGTTCAACTCGGGATTTTGGGGTTTTTCATATTTTTTGGGCTTTAAACCCGAATCAGACTCGAATTACTTTTAATTCGGTTCCAGTTTGAATTTTATAAATAAAGAGAAACCCAAAGCCGATTCCAAAAAACTTCCAGTTCCTAAATGGGTGCTAAACACCCCAACCGAATAACCGCATCCGAATAATCCAAACCAGAAAAAATACAAATGCCCAACACTAACCACACAAAGCTGAGCAAAAGAAAGAGATATTGTTATTTTGGAGTTGATATACCTTAGGGGAGTCTTTGATTCGCTATAATATTCTCGAAAGTGGAGATTCAAAGAACCAGATTGAGTGCTATAAGAATCCTTTCCCATAGGCCGTATTTCCAAGGTCGAGATCACCGGCGTAGTCGTCCCAGTCTTAACAAGACAGACTTGCAACGTGTTTGATGTTGGGATGTGAACGATCTCTTGTTTTGTACCATTCACTCGCTTATGCAAATCTATAGTGGCCCATGGGTTAGGTCCAAGATACAGATCAAACGTGGGGTTATTGTCAAGGCCATCATAGTTTCCATACAAAAACCTAGCCCTGATCAGATGGTTTCTCCCCTTCTCGACACGTAGGTTGTAGCAATTCCGTGTGCCATTCGGAAAAGATCTCAGCGTTGTATATGGCTTAATATATCTACTCGCTAGACTTGGCTGAATTGTACCGGGTTTCCCACTCTGGATGAATGTTGCATCCGAAGAGAATTGTAACCCTGTTGAATCCTCTTTATAAGGAGATGGTTCATTCGCTGGTAGCCCGCAGTCCAAAGTGATGTAACCTTTTAAGAGATATGGAACAAAACTCAAAGTTAAAAGAGAGAACATATCGAGTTGCCACGTACAAGTACGATTAACAATAACAATGGTAATAAAGAAGAGAAGGATTATACACATATAATGTAGTTTTGTCAATTAAGATGTACATACCTTGTTGGCTCTGAGCTTGTACTATATGAATAATGGCCAAGGTTTTGATTATCAGCAACAAAAGTCCATAAGACCTCTCCATATTCACTTACCTACCAACGAATAATCAAGAAAACATAGCCTAGGCTGAAGAGAATACGAAGGTGACTATATAAGGAAAACCAAAATCAGAAACTTAAAAGAAAAGACTTTTTTTTCTGAGTCAATAAAAAGAATGAATAAATGTATTTTCTAGTGCAACTTTGCCATGGGGAAGGAATAAGTATACAAGGATAACACTCTTCCACGATTGCTAATATAAGGTCATTTGTGGAATATAAATCAGTATACTTTCTTGGTCAGACAATAATGCATGCTACTTCCAAATAACCTTTCAATCACAACAAAAAAAGATATTGGTTTAAATAGCCACCAGGCTAACCACAATGATGCATGAAGAAATGCTCACAGAGAGTTGACATTCTATTGGTTGTTGACTTCTAATATTTAGTAGACGTGGTTTTGTTGAATCCATATTCAAAGTAAAGCTTTAGACACACAATGATTGATGTAAATGCTGACTAAATACCAACAAAAGTAAGATGAATATTTAACATGAGCTTGAAGAAGATTAATAATGAAAAAGATATGAATGAAACTGTCCGTATTCTCTGTTATTTCTAATTGCTACTTCACCATATGAAGAAAGAATTAAAAGGGTAAATAATGTTGTCACGTCACTATCATATGCTGTTTACAAGAGTCTGTAGTACTTTAGTTTCCTGGTCAGACAATATGCTACTTGCTTTAGTAAATTAACTCCAAAGAATATCAAACTACGGAAAAAGATACTTGGCTTTAATACCCACTAGCCTCCAGCACCATGACGCACGAAGAACATCTGAGAAATAGTCAGATGGTCTTTGACTTTTGTTACGTGAAGACAGCCTCTCCAACTTCCAGCCAGATGACTAGTTGACATTTCTTTGATTGGTTTTATCATGAATATACAGCTTAGACACACCAATAAATGGAAAGCCTAAAAGTTCACTCAATGTATTAAGCTAATGATAAGAAATGATTCTGGACAAGCAGCCTTATCAGATCTCTGTAGTTGAAAAATGGATGTTCATCCAATTCAGTGCCATCTATTTTGTTAGATGGTAGATAAAGAGCCGGGTTTGGGTAAATTCCAATGAAACATTCATTGGTCTTGACCATAAAATTTGTGTATCCATTTTATATAGAATAGGTTTCCAAATTTTTGAATTTTTTTTTTAATAGAAGTTCTTTTAAAATGTTTATGGCCTCCAAATTTTCAGATTCAGCTTGTGTTTAGTTGTGGAATAATTTAATAAAATGTGGTTCAACTTGTTTGCGCCATACTTGTATGAGAGATATTGAATTAGCATATTTCATACTTGTTTGGGCCATGATTGTATAAGTCTTTCCATTTGCGTTTTTTAATTTACATGTTATAGTATTAGTATTGTAACCAAACGCTACGTTTTCTATTTTGGAGACAGAGCACAAATAGAGCCGCAATACAGGCAAAACAACAGTGGAATTAAAAAAAAAGAGAAAGACAGCACAAATTGCTAGTAACGTGTTTTCTGGTGAAACTTCACAATGGGAAGAATGCTTAAACAGAAAAATACATAGACTTTCTCTTCTTTTTTTGTTCAACATACAGAGACTTTCTCAAGTCAATGGAAAAACGATTTAATGTATTTTCTAGGAAGAATGTTCAAAAATCACGTTTAAAGTTCGATTTACTTTGCTATGGGAAATTAAGTCACATTTTACTTGGACACCCTACATGGAGATGAGCCATTGCTTTCGACCCGCCTATTTTGTTTGAAAGACAGCAGTAAATTATAAAGTGAATGTAACTGAAAAATTGATTTATTTGCATCTGATTCGAGTTAGTTTCATTCCATGAACTTTTAGGGTGTGGTAATCAAGATTCTAAAGTAAAGAAATACAAAGAAACCAAATAACAGAGTATAATGTTCGTGCAATGATGACCTTTCAAGGTTCTCATGACACATATGAAGAACCCAAAATCCCCAAAAGAATATATAATATGATCTGGACATGTTAATAACCCAAGCAAAACGAAACATTTTCGACTAGTTTACATTTTTTCCCCTTAAAATGTAACTATTATCGATTTGTTGATTCCATTATTAGTACCACAAGTAGACAAAATTCGGGACTATCTTGCCATGGGTCTCACCGAAGTGCTCGAGCTAATGTTTGCTTGAGATTCCAAGCCTTGAATATTATTAACCCTCGAGTTTTCCAACACGATACACTCTTTTAGCTCATGAATGACTTGAGACATGGATGGTCGTTTTGAGGAAGAAGGATCCGCGCATGACATTGCTACCTCAAGAGCTCTCCATGCAGAATTGGAGTCATAATCCTTGCCAAGATTTGGATCCATAATCTCAATAATATCGCCTCTGCTAAGCTTAGAGTCAACCCAATCTCTTATATGAGCATCTTCAGACGCCTGACTAATAACGGGTTGGTTTGTGATAATCTCCAACAACACGACCCCGAAACTGTAGACATCACTTTTCGCACTCAGCTGACCTGAACGAGCATATCTGCATAACAACAACAAAATATATATTTTTAAATCCCTAAGGAATAGAAAGTTTAAGAACAAGTGTATATCAAAACTAATAATACTTACTCGGGGTCAAGGTATCCCAGGGTACCAGCAACTACTGTGGACTCTTGACATTCTACCCCGCTTTTGAAAGATCTCGAGAGCCCAAAATCAGCGACTTTGGCCTTGAAATTCTCATCTAGCAAAATGTTGGCAGTTTTTACATCTCTATGAACCATCGGTGGTGAGCATCCAATATGCAAATACTCCAATCCTATGAAACGGAATCATCAATATATATATATATATATATATATATATATATATATATATATATATATATATATATATATATATGAAGGGGTATGGCTTTAAACATCATTGAATCAATATCTTGCCCTGCGTATTTTAAATTAAGTACGAACCTTGTGCTGACTCCAGAGCTATTCTTAGTCGAATACTCCAGTTATTGATGGATCTACCTCCTCTTCCTGTTTATTATATTGTTAGAGCTATTCGAGTTCTTTTTTCTTTTGAGTATCATAAGCTAATACCACACGTTATAATTAAACACTAAAAAATCATTACTTGGCAGATGGTGTTGTAAGTCTCCATTCGGCAAAAACTCGTAGATGAGGGCCAAGTGATCTCCTTCATAACAATACCCAACGAGGGTCACCAAATTTGTATGGTGAACTCTCACAAGAAGTTCAACCTAAGGTGAGATTCATGTCAAGAAAAAAAAAATTTGAGATTCATAACCTTTGGTGATACTAGAAAAACACCATAATTTAGTTAGGAAGATTATATAATTTATGAATACCTCTGCTTTGAATTCTTTATAGCCTTGAGATGAAGATTGAGAGAGTACTTTAACAGCCACTTCAGAACTATTTACAGTACCTCGATAAACCTTGCCGAACCCTCCTATACCTATAACACTCTGGAAGTTATTTGTCATTTTGATGACCTCTGAGTATTTGAACCTTTTGCTTTTCTTATTAGCAAATGTAGTGTTCCCCGTTGGAGCACTTGGTCGCTGGGTTAAATCTGTTCATCAGAATAAGAACGTTACCTTATGGACATTCAAAAAATATATATGTATTCTGATTTGATTTCTTGAAAATACTTTGTAGAATCGTTGAGTTTTTCTTTTTGACTAGACGATAAATAACCAACATAGCAACGATTATGGCTGCAGAAGCAACTGATGCAACAATTGGCACAAAAATATTCTTCTTGGGTGGTTTTCTACATGAATCGGAAACGCAAAGCTCTGGGTTTCCTTGCACACTACAATAAGACAAGGTTTGTTAAGTACATCAAATGTACCAAAGGGTTATAGATAATGACTGACAAAAGTTTCTTACGATAGCTTCAGTCCTTTTCTTTGTAAGGCTTGAGGAAGTGAACCACTAAGATTGTTTCCGCTCAAGTTTCTGTTTAAATGGATGACCTGAGTTTGAATTTGTAAAGCATTAGATTTTTTTTTTTTTTTGGGAGAAAACTTACATGACCAACAAAGATTTCATGTTGCCTAGAAACTCCGGCACTTCTCCAGTCAAGTTATTATTCGACAAGTCCCTGAAGTTGGAAAGGATAATAAATACATGAAGGTTTATCAACAAAATTTAATTTCCATGCATCCATATACTACAAATGTCTCGCCTTTGGTTAACGATAGCCATACTTACAATTTCTCTAGTTGCGTAAGATTCTGAATGGCAGATGCTATGGTTCCAGTTAAACCACTTGAAGACAAGTTCCTAAGGAAATGTTCAAAACCACATTTAATTACTACTAAAGCTCCTGAAGACTGGGTGTGTAGTACACTACTAAATTTTTGACTTACAAAGAAGTGATTCTTGGTGGAATGGACATATCCGCGTCTGTGCAGTTTAAACCATCCCACCTAAGCTGCTGAGGGAAGCATGGATCACCTTGCCAGTTGATTCTACTTAATGCATAGCTGGCGGTGATGCTTTTTATAACATTCACTGACATCAGAAAGGTTTTAATGTCTTGAGTTCTCTACATATTGTATAATAATAATTAGAAAGCATAGATCTGGCTAGAAAAATAATGTCGCGCACCGTCTCTTTCATCTGTTTCGGACTGCGGAAACTGGATGGCTAGGTAGAGTTCATAAGCATTGATTAGAGGTGGATGAGTTGATCTGTTGGTACTTATCAGCTGTAAAATGCATTTCCCTTCATTGCAAGTCCTCGGTGGTAACCGGCTAAAGACAGTAAGTAACTCTAACTTTGGAGGAGTTACAGGGCCCTCCAAATGTTGTCCATTCCATACCAAGTTGAATTCCCTGATCTCATTTGCCTGCAAGTCTTGAACCTCAGCAAAGTGTACGTACAAGTAATAATAGTCAAGAGTATTAATGGACAAAGATTGTGGACTCCATTCAAGCGTCAATGGTACACTGGCGTTAGAAGGCGTGGCAGCGTTTTTTAGTGCATCTTTTGGTGGAGGAAAAGAGTTGGAAATTTTCAAGTCACTAGAGGTGGAGATCAGAGTCCATTCCTTCTTGAGTTTCGGTATCCATATGCGATCGTAGATATCGGCAGAGTACCTGGGAACAATGAAATTGATTGTACAAATCATATAGTGTTATTCAATCATGTATTTTAAAAGATTTTAAATCTAAACACAATTCAATGATTTTAAATCTATTTTAAAATTCACTGTTATTCAGTCTATGATTGGACTTTGGGTTTTAAAATCTGGTGTTATTCAACGAATTTTAAAATTCTTTGTAATATAAATGGATATCAAATCATCAGTGATGGATTAATGAATAAATGATTAAACTCAAAATCTAATGGGTATTGCAGAGATTTTAGAATCCATCAATTTTAACAATTTTAAAATTTAAAATTTGATAGATTGTAAATTATTTTAAATTGATTTTAAATTACTAATTGAATAATACCCCTAAATCACAGAACAATATGACCGCCTGTAATGGAAGATTTAACCAAATCTTTAGCAAGTATTCTTAAGTAAATCAGATTTAAATAATAGTATTTAATTTGCATAATCTAAAGAAAAGTTTTAACTAAGACATTTAAGGACTATGATCCTTAATGATATGGCAACGCCCAATTGTTGAAATTTTTAACTTTTTGAAAATAATTAAACCGTACATAAATTCTAATCCCTAAAATCCATAAACTTTAAACCTTAAGTCTAGATTAGTTAATCTAAAGAGTATAAATGTGTGTTTTACACTCGTTAATAAAGTCTATTTTGGTCATTTTTTTCTTATAGGTTATATTTGTGACAAAAACTTTTTTTTTAATGTTTTTCTAAGTCATTTTCTCTTAAAAAAATAATTTCACATATTTTAAAATTAGTTTCTTTCCTAAGAATTCCATAATGAATAATCCTATTGGAGGAATATTTGTAATTAGAATCCTTAACTATTAAAAAAAACAATTATTATATTGCTAAGAAGTTCAATCGTGTTACCATCATTGGAGCTTGGAGGTGCTCTAAATAAATAAAAAGTCATTCGTTGACTCACCGTAGATATGATTCTGTCTCTTTAAAATAACGACAGGAGTAAAGCCTAAGGGAGCCAGATGTAGTGTTATAAGAATCATTTGGCATGGGGCGTAATTCCACGGCAGATATTAGCGGTGTAGTTTCGCCAGTCTTAACAAGACAAATCTTCAACAAGTTTGATGTTGCTATGTGAAAGATATCTTCCCGTGTGTTATTCCTCCGTTGTCCTAAATCTATCGTGGCCCATTTGTTAGGTCCAAGATAAAGATCAAACACTGGTGAAGTGTCATGACCATCGTAATTTCCATATATAAAGACTGTCCTGATCAAATATTTAAGCCCCTTCTCTACATTCAGATTATAGCAGTTCCGTTTGCCATCTGGAAAATATCTCAGTGTTCTGTATGGCTTCTTAAATTCACTTGCCAGATTTGCCTTGTTTTCACCCGTTTTCCCACTCTGGATGAATGTTGCGTCTGAGGAGAAGTTCAGCCCCGTGGAAGTCTCGATATAAGGAGACTGTTCCTTCTCAGATAGCCCACAATCCAAACTGATGAACCCTGTTGAGTAATAAAATGTTTATTATAACAAACCAATATTGCACTTCTGACTACCAAAACGTTTCAAGCAGACGAAAAAGGAAAGTTTGTAGAAGAAATATAAAGGATGTATATAGATGAAAGAAAACAAGATACCTTGTTGGTCTTGAGCTTGAACTATATGAATGATGGCCAAAGTTGCAATTAACATCAACAAAAGCACAAGATAAGAACTCTCCATATTCTCTCAACTCCCAAGAAGAAACCAAGAAACCAATGGCTAAGCTGTCGTACATAGATACGATATATCTATAAACAATACACCAAAGAAGAAATACTTTTGAAAAGCTACAAAACAGGAAAAAATGATAAAGAAAGACTTCTGACTAGCAAATAATCTTTTATACCTGCCGATATTGAAAACTTTGGACAGGTCAATAACCTAGTACTTTCACTCTCTTTTCCTCGCGACAACCGTTGCTCGGGTCCACTTGTTCCGCGTTTCATTTTTCCTTCTTTTTTGACCATCGTATCAGAGGTTTCCAGTTTGAGTGATCATTAGAACGAAACTAATATTACATGATGTGATTTGGGGGATTACTGGACACGACAGCGAACCCCTTGGTATTCCCAGATAAAAAGAAAAGAATTCTTTCAGTTATTTCTCCATAATAAAAACAAAAATATACTACTCCCTCTGTTTCAAATATACAAAAATATGTAAAATTAATTGTTTTCTTAATCTGTGTGTAAAAACATAGAATGTCAACTAAATTGAAACAGAGGGAGTATTTAATAGTATGAAATGTCGCTGTAACGACGTTAGGTGACATGATTTAGTCTCCTCAGAGTCGTTGATAGAAAAGTCTCCTCAGTCTTTTAGTTATTATTTTTAAATCACGTGAATGTGAACACAGGTGCTAAGTCAGACACAAGTGCAAAGTCAAGCACAAACCACGTGAAGCTCTCGATGATAAAACATGATTTGACAAAAGGAAGACTCATCGCATGCGGAGGGAAACCGTATCTCCGAGTCCGAGCCAAAAGAAAAGTCGAGGTTATGAACTTGAGAAAGCAACAGTATATAAATTAAATCATACTCAAAGATGTAACCACTATATTTGCTAAATATGATCATAGTTGGTTTTTATAAGCAGAGAATCTGATGTGGACTTCTGTTGAGTTATTTTCGTTCCATGAACTGAACTTTATGCCGTGAGTGACCGTGAAATGAAGACACCAACAATTACGTCCGTACACGAAGAGACCAAAAATTATCAAGGAACAGAGAATTCAAAGAAAAGGAAGAACAGAGCAATGTCAATGATAAAAGCAAATTGATATGTACGTCAATACGTGGTACTCAGACACGAAGAAACCAACAATTATCAAAGAACAGATAATATAATGTGTATTTGTCATTGATCAAAGCTAAATTATTCCGCTTCAAGTTTATCTATAGAAACCAAATTCACACTCTTTGGCAATCTTACGAATTATCTTTTTGAATAAATGATTAAGTTTATTCGGTTCAAGACATTTTTACAATGAATGCAACACTACAACGATAATCTGTTAGCTATATATAAAAATATAAAAAATTGGTTTGTTGAGTGTACAATTGATTTGTAAAAGCAAATTAACATGTATGTGATACTTAAGACACATATAGTGACCAAAAATCACCAAAATGCAGACAACACTCAAAACTACAGAAACCATATTCACCTCAAAATTTTACGAATTTGGCTAAATATGTAAATTAGAATTTTATTAGTTGAGTCTATATTGGTACTACAGATATACAACACTCAAACTATCTTGCCCGAGGAACTACCGAAGTATCCAAGCTAAGGTTCGTTTCTTGAGATTCCAAGCCTGGATTATTATTCATCCTCGAGCTTTCACACGCAATACATTCTTTTAGCTCGTTGATAACCTGAGACATGATTGGTCGTTTCGAGGAAGAAGTATCAGTGCATGACACTGCCAGGTCAAGAGCTCTCCATGCAGAATTATGGTCATAAACCCCACAAAGGTTTGGATCCATGATCTCAGTTATATCACATTGGTTAAGCTTAGTGCCAACCCATTCAGCTACGTGATACTCTTCAGAGATCACAGGTTTGTTTGTGATCATCTCCAGTAACACGACCCCGTAACTATATACATCACTCTTCTCAGCCAACCGGTTTGTACGGTAATACCTACAAGACAAGAACATGGTATAACTCTCTAACCATCTAAGAATGTATAGAAAATTTAAGAACAAGCTTGTGTGTGTGTGTGTAAACTACTTACTCGGGATCAATGTATCCATGAGTACCAGCAACTTCCGTGAATTCTTGAGATTCGCTTCCACCGAAAGATCTTGAGATCCCAAAATCAGCAAGTTTAGCCTTGAAATTCTCATCGAGCAATATGTTGGCAGTTTTGACATCTCTATGAACCATCGGTGGTGTGCATCCAATATGTAAGTACTCCAATCCTATGCAATAAAAATCATCTATATCAAACTGTTGAATTGATATATTGTCCTAAGGTTTTTTAATTTAGTAACCTAGTGCTGTCTCCAAAGCTATTCGTAGACGAGTACTCCAGTTGATGATCGATCTACCTCCTTTTCCTGTAAATATAAAGATAATTATATCCATTATGATTTTCATGAGTCGCTACACGTGAAATCACTATAAATATATCACCGGACAAATGTTGTTTTAAGTCTCCATTGGACAGAAACTCGTAAATGAGGGCTAAATGATCTCCTTCATAACAATACCCGACGAGGCTCACCAAATTTGTATGGTGAACTCTCACAAGAAGATCAACCTATCAAGACCCATATCAAGAAAATATTTGAAAAGTGAATGTAGAAACATATCATATAGTTTAACTGGGGAGGCTAAAGAGTTATGGAAAACCTCTGTTTTGAATTGTTCATAGCCTTGAGTTGAAGTTTGAGAGAGCAGTTTAACAGCCACATCGGAACCATTTACAGTACCTTGATACACCATACCGGAACCTCCTTTGCCTATAACTCTTTGAAAATTATTTGTCATTTTGATGACCTCTGAATATGTGAACCTTTTGCTTTTCTTATTAGCAAATGTATCATTCACCGTACGTGTACCTGACAGGGAGTTTTATATGTTATAACAATCACAAGAATCGGTAGGTTTTCTTATTTAAAGTCTCTCTAGAAAGTACCTTTTACAGTTTTTGATTTTTTCTTTCTTAGTACAAAGAAAAAAACCAATATAGCAATGACCACGGCCACAGAAGCAACTGATGCAACAATTGGCATAAGAACGTTCTTCTTAGATCGTTTTCTACATGCATTAGAGAGACAAAGCATGGGGTTTCCTTCAAGGCTACAAGAAAACAAGGGTTGTTAAGGACATAAATTGCAAAATACAAAAAGGGCTTTTGGATCGTTACTAAGAAGAGTTCAAACGATATGCAGAAGGTTTCTTACAATAGCTCTAGTCCTTTCTTTTGTAGAGCTTGAGGAATTGAGCCATTAAGATTGTTCCCGCTTAAGTTTCTAGGCAATATAACCATGATATGAAATGAAATTCGACAAGCGCTATTAAATATGTTGAGAGAAACTTACATGACCATCAAGGATTTCATGTTGCCGAGAAACTCTGGCACTCCTCCAGTCAAGTTATTATTCGACAAGTCCCTAATGTTAGCAACAGAGAGTATGGTAACCATAGGTTATCCAATAAATCCCTATCCATATAATAACAACATTTCTTCTACAATAGAAACACTTACAGTTTTTCTAGTTGCGTAAGATTTTGAATAGCAGCTGCTAAGATTCCAGTTAAACCACTTGAAGATAAGTTTCTAGGCATTGTTAAAAATCACATTCAAAAGTCTTAATGATCATATGATTAAATAAGATCTAGAAGAGTGAATGTGCATACATATGTAGTACTGAACTCACGACTTACAAAGAAGTGATTCTTGGTGGTATAGACATATCCGTGTTACTACAGTTTAACCCGTCCCACAAAAACTGTCGAAGGACACATGGATCGCCTTGCCAATTGATTCTACTCAAGCCATAATTGGCCTCAATGTTTCTAATAGCAATGATCATATGTGTCCTGCCTTTTTTAACATTTAGACTGTAGCAGTTCCGTATCCCATCTGGAAAATATCTCAGCGTCTTGTATGGTTTAGCGTATCCATGTTGGAGATAAACTTGAAAGTAACTTGAATAACAAGTTATCATTATCCTAGTTTTAGATAAGAGTTATCTAGACATTATACAAATCCTAAAGAGTTTAGGAATATTGTGTTTAGTATAAAAGAGATGCAAGAGTGTTGCATCCGTGTGTGGTTTTTGTGGGAGCTTTAGTTTTGGGTGATTTTCTAGAGCAAATTGTNAGTTATCTAGACATTATACAAATCCTAAAGAGTTTAGGAATATTGTGTTTAGTATAAAAGAGATGCAAGAGTGTTGCATCCGTGTGTGGTTTTTGTGGGAGCTTTAGTTTTGGGTGATTTTCTAGAGCAAATTGTGAGATTAATAAAGAAGAGTTTCTTTTGAGTTTATACACAAACTTGAATTACTGCGAACTAGAATTGGTATCAGAGCTTGAAGAACAAACGATCCTGAACAACAAACCGCTATGGGAGATATTACAACATTCACCAAGACCAAAGGAGGAACTTCTTCCATAAGTTGTCCTATGCTAACTAAAACAAACTACACAGTTTGGGGCATAAGGATTAAACTTTTGCTAGAAGTACATGAGGTATGGGAGGCTGTTGAAACCAAGATAGACGACAAGAAGAAGAACACCATGGCTAAGGCGTTATTGTTTGGTTCAATACCAGAAGCCTTGATAATGCAAATTGGTAGCCTAGACACGGCAAAAGAAGTTTGGGAAGCGATCAAGACCAGATATATGGGAGCAGACAGAGTTCGAGAAGCACGTTTGCAAACCCTAATGTGTGAATTTGACCGACTTAAGATGAAAGAAGGAGACACGATCGATGAGTTTGCTGGGAGAATATCAGAGGTTACTTCTAAAGCTGCTGCGTTAGGAGATGTTATCGAAGAAAGCAAGATTGTGAAGAAATTTCTTAAGAGCCTTCCTAAGAAAAAGTTTTTGCAAATTGTGGCATCTTTGGAGCAAGTACTTGATCTAAACAACACGAGCTTTGAAGACATTATAGGTCGGTTAAAAGCTTATGAAGACCGTCTAGATGATGAGGAAGAGGAAGAGAAACAGGATAACCAGACAAAATTGATGTATGCAAACAATGAGAATCAAAACCGAGAGAACAACAACAATAGCAACAACTACAACCGTGACAACAACAACTACAGAGGACGAGGCAGAGGTGGACGTTTCAATGGTAGAGGAAGAGGACGTGGAAGATATACTTACAACTATGAGAGAGATATGTCTAAAATCACATGCTTTAGATGTGACAAACATGGTCACTTCGCTATGGACTGTCCTGACAGACTACTAAAGTTGCAAGAAGCACAAGAAACGAACAACGATGAAACACAGGAGGCTGAAGATCTAATGGTACATGAGATCATATTTCTAAACGAAAAGAACATGAGTCCACAAGATTTTGAAACAAGTATGGTGGGAGAAAACGTTTGGTATCTTGACAATGGCGCTAGCAATCACATGACTGGGAACCGAGATTACTTCTATAAACTTGATGAAACTATCACTGGTAAAGTAAGGTTTGGGGACGATTCACGGATTGACATCAAGGGAAAAGGTTCAGTACTATTTAGGCTGGAGAATGGCGAGAAGAAAGTCCTGGCTGATGTATATTATATACCTAATTTGAGAAGCAATATTATCAGCTTAGGACAAGCTACTGAGTCAGGCTGTGACATACGGATGAAAGGTGATCATCTTACCTTATCTGATAAAGAGGGAAGACTCATTACAAGAGCCACGAGATCAAGAAACAGATTGTACAAGGTGTTTATGGAAGGAGCTAACGATAAGTGCTTACAACTGATGGTTCCTAGTGAGGCTGAGAAGTGGCACGCAAGGCTGGGACATATAGGGAGAGAATCGATGAAAGTAATGATCAAACAAGATCTTGTTTTAGGAATACCAAGGATGGAGATCGAAAAAGAAACATGTTCATCATGTTTACTTGGTAAGCAAGCAAGAGGAGCCTTTCCTAAAGCAACCCCTTACCGAGCAAGTAAAATACTAGAGCTCATCCATGGGGACTTGTGCGGACCAATTACTCCACCTACCCCTGCTAAAAACAGATACATCTTCGTTTTAATTGACGATCATTCTCGGTATATGTGGTCGATACTTCTTAAGGAGAAAGGGGAAGCTTATGAAAAATTCAAGAGATTTCGAGAAGTTGTTGAGAAGGAGACAGGTGCAAAGATCAAGACATTAAGAACAGACCGCGGTGGAGAATTCTGTTCAAGAGAGTTTCAAGAGTACTGTGAAAAAGTTGGGATTACAAGACATCTTACTGCACCATATTCTCCTCAACAGAACGGTGTAGTTGAGAGAAGAAATCGAACACTGTTGGGAATGGCTAGGAGCATCCTAAAACACATGAGTATGCCAAACTTTCTTTGGGGAGAGAGCGTGAGGCATTCAACATATCTTATTAACCGAGTAGGAACCAGAGTCCTTGTAAAACAAACTCCATACCAAGTCTTCAAGGGAAGAAAACCAAACGTAGAGCATATACGTATCTTTGGCTGTTTGGGTTATGCTAAGATAGACAGTGGACACCTGAGGAAGCTAGATGATAGATCACGGAAGCTAGTCCATCTTGGAACAGAGCCCGGCTCCAAAGCATATAGGCTACTTGATCCGAGTAACCGAAAGATTGTGGTGAGTAGGGATGTAGTGTTTGACGAAAGCCAAGGTTGGAATTGGGGCACAACAGAGAATGTATCCGTAGGCGAACCTGGAAGATTTGAGATTTCACTTGGAGACTCAGGAAACGTAGGTATGGAAGAAGAGAATGTTGAGAATCACGAGGAGTATGAGGAGGAAAATTCAGAAGATCATGTTGAAACTGATGAGACACTTGAAGATGTTGGTCTGAGAAGATCATCACGAGAACATAGGAAACCAAGCTATCTAGAAGACTACATAATGCTAGCTGAGTTTGATAGTGAAAGTGAACATATGCTAATGCTAATGAACGATGAGCCGTGGAGTTACAGTGAAGCAAGTGAAGAGAAAGTGTGGAGAGATGCGTGTGATGATGAGATTACTTCTATTGAGAAAAACAGAACGTGGGAACTCGTGGATCTTCCTAAAGGAGCAAAGGCAATAGGTTTAAAATGGGTATTCAAGATTAAGAGGAATGCTGATGGTAGCATTAACAAGTTCAAGGCTAGACTTGTTGCAAAAGGTTATATACAGAGACACGGTATAGATTATGAGGAAGTCTTCGCCCCTGTAGCTCGCATTGAGACAATAAGGTTCATACTAGCTCTTGCTGCATCGAATGGATGGGAAGTACATCATTTAGATGTCAAAACAGCGTTCTTACATGGTGATCTTAAGGAAGTTGTTTTTGTATCTCAACCGGAGGGCTATGTGACCAAAGGAAAAGAGAAAAAGGTATACAAGCTAAACAAGGCTCTTTACGGCTTGAAACAAGCCCCAAGGGCGTGGAATGAAAAGTTGAACAAAGTACTCGAGCAACTTGGGTTTAAGAAGTGTTCCAAGGAACCTGCACTATATCAGACGCAAAGCAAGGATCAATTACTGCTTGTAGCAGTATATGTGGATGACCTTTTGGTCACAGGAACGAACATGGAGGCAATACACGAGTTCAAGGGGAGAATGTCAAGTAATTTTGAGATGAGTGACTTGGGAAAATTGACATATTACCTTGGTATTGAAGTTTGTCAAAGTAAGCAAGGAATCACTTTGAAGCAAGAGAGATATGCCAAGAAGATTCTGAGTGAAACAAAGATGGGTGACTGCAACATGACTCATGTTCCAATGGATCCTGGTCTGCGGCTTTCAAAAGGAAGCGATGAGAAGAATATAGATGAGAAGGAGTACAGGAGAAATATTGGATGTCTCAGGTATATACTTCATACAAGACCAGATCTTTCTTATAGTGTTGGAGTCCTGAGTAGGTATATGCAACAACCAAAAGAATCACATGGGTCAGCTGTGAAACAAATACTTCGGTATTTACAAGGGACTCTGTCACATGGTATTGTGTTTGAGCGAGGACTAAGACCAGAGTTAAAAGGATATAGTGACAGCTCTCATGCAGTAGATGAAGATGATGGACGTAGTACTGCAGGACATGTGTTCTACCTAGGTAACAGTCCGATAACATGGTGTTCTAACAAGCAGGAGACAGTGGCGTTATCATCTTGTGAAGCCGAATTCATGGCTGCTACAGAGGCAGCTAAACAGGCCATTTGGCTCCAAGACCTGTGTGAAGAAATCAGTGGTGAATCATGTGGGAAGGTGGTAATCTTGGTTGACAATAAGTCGGCTCTAGCCCTTACAAGAAACCCGGTTTTTCACGGACGGAGTAAACACATACACCGGCGTTATCACTTCATTCGAGAATGTGTTGAGAAGAATCTGATTGAAGTTCAGCATGTACCAGGAGAAGAACAGAGAGCTGACATATTAACCAAAGCACTTGGAAGATTGAAGCATAAAGAAATGAGGGAGTTAATAGGAGTACAAGATGTTACTCAAGTTGATTTCAAGTTTAAAGGGGAGAATGTTGGAGATAAACTTGAAAGTAACTTGAATAACAAGTTATCATTATCCTAGTTTTAGATAAGAGTTATCTAGACATTATACAAATCCTAAAGAGTTTAGGAATATTGTGTTTAGTATAAAAGAGATGCAAGAGTGTTGCATCCGTGTGTGGTTTTTGTGGGAGCTTTAGTTTTGGGTGATTTTCTAGAGCAAATTGTNAGTTATCTAGACATTATACAAATCCTAAAGAGTTTAGGAATATTGTGTTTAGTATAAAAGAGATGCAAGAGTGTTGCATCCGTGTGTGGTTTTTGTGGGAGCTTTAGTTTTGGGTGATTTTCTAGAGCAAATTGTGAGATTAATAAAGAAGAGTTTCTTTTGAGTTTATACACAAACTTGAATTACTGCGAACTAGAATCCAAAAGGATTTTCTCGGATTTGACCATTTCTTCCGCTACTTATGAACGTTTCGTCCGAAGAGAACATTAGTCTTGTGTAAGTCTCTTCATAAGGAGAGGCTTCATTCGCGGGTAGCCCACAATCCAAACTGATGAATCCTGTTAACAGACATTTGAACGCACTTGTGAGAATCAAAACGTTTGTGTGAAATATATATATATATTCATGATACCTTGTTGGTCTTGAGCTTGAATATTATGAATGATGGCGATTAGTGGCAGCAAAAGCCCAAGAAAATTCTTCATATTGTCTTACCTGCCGAGGAAATATCAAGAAAACCATTACCAAGCTCTAACTAAAGAAAGAGTTTGTCAAGTCCTTTCTAAAAATAGACTTTGTCAAGTCAACATAAGAGTTAACGCGTTTACAAGACTTGGTAGTGTAACTCCACCAATAGAATGAAAGGACAAGAGTGGCCCAACATCACCATCATCAACGTATTCATGGAAAATATGGAGCAAGACCTACTGTTACATTAAAGACAAGTCAATTATATATATAAGACTAGTCCAAGAAGAATCTACTTTCTTTGCTTGACTACTAGTCACACATTATTTCGTTTAAGGCCAGAAATAAGTCAATGAGAAGAGATCATAACCATTAGATATGTTTCTTTAGTTATTTTATACAGAGAATTCGATGTATAACAGTGTCACATTTGGTAGAACAATAGTTTCTTGGCTCAGTGAAAGAATGAGTATTTGTGTTTTCTAGTGAAACTTCAGTATGGGATGGGAAGAAGGAGTATATGTGTTATCAAGAACTTTGAAATTGACCTTGGTCAGGCAATAGTTTCTTAGAGTCACACATCAATGATATTTGGCATTAAAACGCCACCTGATTCACCACTGTGGCGTATGAAGATATGTTTCGAAATAGTTATCTTTCTAGTGGTTAGAAATGACAAGAGGATCAGTATGTAATAAAACAACCCCACAAAGTAGCCACTATCACAGCTCCTAGAGGTACAACAGACAAAATTTGTTTGATCAACGAACAGGCAAATTAAAGTTCAATATATTTAGTAAATTAGCTCTCTTTTTTTTTTGTCACTCTAAATTTCAAGAAAATATCTTTATATTTCACTCCCATTCCATGAACTATCAAGGCGTGGTACTCAAGAGCAAACACGTACAAAGAAACCAAACAACATACTGAAATGGTCTTAGAAATGATTGATGTTTCGTGGTACTCATGACACATATGAAGAACCAAAAAGAAGAGAGAAAACGTTCTAGACACGTTGATGACCAAACCAAAATGAAAAAATTGGACTATTACGAACTTTACTTAAAGTGTAGCTGATTATCGACGTGTTGCTTCCATTATTACTACCACAAGTAGACAACACTCGAGACTATCTTGCCATGGGACCCACCGAAGAGCCCAAGCTAATGCTTCTCATTGCTTGAGATTCCAAGCCTTGATTATTATTGACCCTCGAGTTTTCCAACACGATACACTCTTTTAGCTCATGAATGACCTGAGACATAGATGGTCGTTTGTAGGAAGAAGGATCCGCACATGACATTGCTAGCTCAAGAGCTCTCCATGCAGAATTGGAGCCGTAATCCTTGCCAAGATTTGGATCCATAATCTCGATTATATCGCCTCTGCTGAGTTTAAAGCCAACCCATTTCGTTATGTGTAAAAACTCCGAAGTTTGACTAATCACGGGTTGGTTTGTGATCATCTCCAACAACACGATCCCGAAACTGTAGACATCACTCTTCTCACTTAGTCGACCTGAACTGTTACATCTGCATGACAAAAACATACTACTTTTAACCACTGAAAAATTAAGGAACATTAAGTTTCTAAGAACAAGGGTTTGTGTGTATATAAGAAAAATATTAATACTTACTCAGGATCAAGGTATCCCAGAGTACCAGCAATTACCGTTGAAACCTGAGATTCACCTCCACTTTGAAAAGATCTTGAGAGACCAAAATCAGCGAGTTTGGCCTTAAAATTCTCGTCCAACAATATGTTTGCAGTTTTGACATCTCTATGAACCATGGGCGGTGTGCATCCAATATGTAAGTACTCCAGTCCTGTGAAATGGAACCATGTATCGACTGATTTGCTGTAATCCCAATTGTATCGATATCTTTTCCTAAAGTTATTAAGTTAGTACCAACCTAGTGCTGCCTCCAAAGCTATCTGAAGTCGAATTCTCCAGTTGATGAGAGGTCTACCTCCTTTTCCTGTATATTAGATTATTACATTTACTGAGTTTCATAAGTTAATGCAACACATGAAATAACAAGAAAATTATTACCTGCCAAATGTTGTTTCAAGTCTCCATTGGGCAGAAACTCATAGATGAGTGCCAATGTATCTCCTTCAAAGCAATATCCGACGAGGCTCACCAAATTTGTATGGTGAACTCTTAAAAGAAGATCAACCTAAGGTAATATTTATGTTACTAAAATATTTACATTCATAACTGATGCTAGAAAAAGATCATAGTTTAGTTGGGAGTCTTGGGACGGTACCTCTGCTTTGAATTCTTTATAGCCTTGAGTTGAATATTGAGAGAGTAGTTTAACGGCCACTTGTTCCGAACCATTAACAGAACCGTGATACACCATGCCGAACCCTCCTTTACCTAAAACTCTTTGGAAGTTATTTGTCATTTTGATGACCTCTGAATATGTGAACCTCCTCCTGTTCATTTTAGCAAATGTATCATTCACCGTTGGCCTACTTTGCGGCCGGGGTAAACCTGTCCATCAGAATAAGGATGTTACCATATATTTCTCTTCTAATAACGTAAAGGAGCAACAGACATTCAAAAGATTATAAGTGTTCTTATTTAACGTCTCTCATGAAAATACCTTCATCAGTCTTTGATCTTTTCTTTCTGAGTACAAGGAAAATAACCAATGCAGCAATGGCAATGGCAATGGCTGCAGAAGCAACTGATGCAACAACTGGTACAAAAACTTTGTTCTTAATTGGTTTTCCACATGAATCGGAGACACAAAGCTCTGGGTTTCCTTTCACACTGTTGTTAAGGACAGACATCAAACCAAAGGGTTATAGATCATGAAAGATAAAATTTCAAAACTTATGTGGAAAGTTTCTTACGATAGCTCCAGTCCTTTCCTTTGTAAGGCTTGAGGAAGTGAACCATTAAGATTGTTCCCGCTTAAATTTCTGTCAAATACTACTACAATTTGAGTTGAATTTTGAAAATTATTTAAATATATATTGAAAGAAACTTACATGACCATCAACGATTTCATGTTGCCTAGAAACTCTGGCACTACTCCAGTCAAGTTATTATTGGACAAGTCCCTAATGTTAGCAAGAAGTAATAAAGACATGAAGGTTGGTCAAGTTTATTCCCATCCATCCAAATATATATATATATATATATATATATAATACAAATTTCTTGCCTTGAGTTAACAATCGTCATACTTACAGTTTTTCTAGTTGTGTAAGACTTTGAATGGCAGCTGCTATGGTTCCAGTTAAACCACTTGAAGACAGATTTCTAGTGAAATGTTCAAAAATTGCATTTAAAGTATTAATTACTAGCAGAACTCTGAGTATACTATTCAACATTGACTTACAAAGAAGTGATTCTTGGTGGTGTGGAGATATCCACGTTTGTGCAGTTTAAACCTTCCCACCTAAGCTGCTGAGGGAAGCATGGATCACCCTGCCAGTTAAATCTACTTAATGCGTAGCTGGTGGCAATGCTTCTTATAGCACTCACTGACATCAGAAAGTTTTATAATCTGTCTTGAGTTCTCTATTGTAAAACAAGAAAACATATAACCTGAAAAAGAAAGTCTCTCACCGTCGCTTTCATGCGTTTCGGACTGCGGAAACTGAATGACTGTGTAGACTTCAAAAGCATTAAGGAGAGGTGGATGAGTTGATCTGTTGGTTCGTATCAGCTGTAAAATGCATTTACCTCCTTTGCAAGTTATAGGGGACTGGCTAGAGACAGTAAGTACTTTGAGCTTTGGAGGAGTAAGAGGGCCATACAAATGTTGTCCATTCCAAAACATGTTGAATTCCCTGGTTTCATTTGCCTGCAAGTCTTGGAGCTCAGCAAAGTGTGCGTACAAGTAATATTGTTCATCAGGACTTGCTAAATCCCATTGAATAGCCAGTGGCTCACTGGCATTAGTAGGCGTAGCAGCATTTTGTAGTGCAGCTTTTGGTGGAGCGTATTCGTTGGAATTGTTCACGTCAAGAGTGGTGGAAATCTGGGTCCACACCTTCCCAAATAACGGTGTCCATATGCGATCATAGATATCGCTTGAGTACCTGGGAACACATTACAAAGGTAAATACAAAAAAAATAAAGTATATAGACTGAAAACAGGGACGCAGGAAATTAAATGAAGAAGAGACAGTTTTTTCAGATGAAGTCCACTAACCGTAGCGCTAATGTTGAATTACTAAGATAATTTACGTAGTTCTTCTTCAGGGAGCCCGGTGTAGTGACATAGGAATCATTTCTCATGGGCCGTAATTCCATAGTCGTTACTAGCGGCGTAGTTTCACCAGTCTTAACAAGACAAATCTTCAATAAGTTTGATGTTGGGATGTGCAAGATTTCTTTCCATACACCATCCAGCTCTGTTTCTAAATCAACAGTGGCCCATAGATTAGGTCCAAGATAAAGATCAAAGACCGGTTTAATGTTGCGACCATCGTAATTTCCATATCTAAAAGAAGCTCTGATAAGATATGTACGCCCCCTCTCAACATTCAGATTGTAGCAGTTCCGTATTCCATCTGGAAAATATCTCATCGTTCTGTATGGCTTCCTTAATGTCCCCACCGAACTTGGCTGAATTCTACCAGTTTCTCCACTTTGGATGAATGTTGCGTCTGAGGAGAAGTTCAGCCCCGTATAAGTATCAATATAAGGGGACAGTTCGTTCGCAGATAGCCCACAATCCAAACTGATGAATCCTGTTGAGTGTTAACAGACATGGTGAAAGATTAACCATAAAACACTTGTAAATAATTCGTCAAACAGCTAAAAAACACTTGTAAAAGATACCTTCTTGGTCTTGAGCTTGAACATTATGAATGATAGCCAAAGTTGCAATTAACACCAATAAAAGTACAAAAGAATTCTCCATATTCTCTCAACTCCCAAAGGAAAAATCAAGAAAACCGGTGGGTGGTTAAGCTGTGGTATGTAAATAGTAATTATATAAGCAAAACCCACATCACACTTAAGACTCCGAATGGGAAAAGTGGATTAGCCTTGCGAATCTAACGGAATAAGAATGAATCTAGTGGATTTAGCAGTATAAGTAAGACTAGGCAAAAAATTTGAACCCGAAAAAACAAACCGAATCCGATCTAAACTAGTAATACTGAATCTGAATCGAAATTAGTTAAATATCCGAACAGATTCAAAATTTTGGAATCTAAAATGAACCTGTCGTCTAAACCAAAATACTTTGGGTACCTGAATATATCCAAATGAGATTTGTATACTTGAATATATTAGTTATTTTTAAATGTAATATCAAAAAAGTATCAAAAATATATAAGATATTTTGAGATTGTCCACAAAAATTTGAAAATATATACAAATAGTCAAAAGTAATATTTAAAATAGCTAAATAATACTATAAACAACTCCAAACATGAGTGGTACAAGTGGTTCTCCTGCTGTAAATATGTAATATATTTATCAATTTCAGTATCATTTATTATAGTTAAAAATGATATAAAACATATAAATTTGAGTGTTGTATGCCAAAATACTTAAAAAATCAATTAATTATCCATCCAAATATTCAAGTCAACTCAAATTTTATGTTAAGTTAAGGTATTTTGGCATACAACACTCAAATTTATATGTTTTATATCATTTTTAACTATAATAAATGATACTGAAATTGATAAACATATTACATATTTACAGCAGGAGAACCACTTGTACCACTCCAAATATGAGGGGTGTATATTGTTACCAGTGGTTATTGTTATTTCACAAAATAAACCACTTGTAATACTATTTTTTTGTGGATTTTTTGAAAAGTGAAATATACATTTTGTTTTTTATTTTTCTTCGTGAATGACAAATTTTAGGTGGATGCTCCATATTCACAGAAAAATCAGATGTTCAATATTCAAACTCTAAAATAATTCTTTTTGACAAGTCAATAACGTGTTTCCATTTTCCACCCCAGAGCAAGAAGAGATAAGAGTAGCCAAGAAACTAACCATCCATATCATAGACTAAAAAAAGACTTTAGCAAGTCAATGATGAAAGTAAGGTTCTGAATTATAAAAACAGTTCAAATAGTGCAGATCAAACAATTATTATAATTTTAAATAATTTGAACTGCAGATCAAACAATTATTATAATTTTAAATAATAAAACAGTTCAAATAAAATAAATTATATGTATAAATAATAAATTACAGTAAAATATATTAAAATACATAATATAGAAGTATAATATATACAACAATAAATCTTGCAGTAAATCATGTTACTACAATTTTAAAATCAAAATATGAAAACATTTATTTAATAAAAAACTTATATTACTATATATTTTTCATTATAATTAAATACACATTATATAAATATAATAATTTTAATAAATGTGAAATTATATGACGAAAACAGAAAGAAAATATGTAGTCAATGATAGTTATTCTATTGTTAAAATTGTAAGTAAAATATAATGAAATATTGTATATACAAAATTTGTAAATATATTATAAAATTAAGTGTTTTCAAATCTTTTTATAATTCTGTAAAAAAAAAGCAAATGTATAGATGTGAGATGTATGGAAATTTTTTTGCTTTTTCAAAAAGAAAATATTAAATTACATTTAGATCTCCCGCTATGTGCAATGTAAAAAGAGAAATGATTTAATGGTGAATGCAATAAGGGAGAATTGCATGTGCGAACATTTTACATTTTTCCGTGCAATTAAGGTTAGAATGGTGACTGCAGATATGGTAATAAAAACAGAATGAAATTGAAGTGCGGTATGATGTAAGTGTGGTTTGTGCGATATGTCAAATAAATGTGGTTTTGATAAATAAAGTGTAGTGAGGTTTTGGTATAACAATAGTACGAATTTGATAGAAAAAATTGTATATAATAAATATATAAGTAGATATTAAAGTTGTTTGTTTAATGATAATCTCATAATATTTTCTATTTGCGGTCTTAGTCTATTTCGAAAATGCAATCCTGTTTTTATTTAATAAAAAATACACAGTTGGTAAACATAAATATATGATTGGTGACAAACGGAGATTTTGAAAGGCGGTCGAAAACCTCAAATTTAAAGTCACCATTCATAACCTTAGAGCATCTCCAACAGTGAGATTCATTGGGATCCTTAGCAAAAGGGCATCTCAGATTAAATTTGAATATTTTAGTTTTTTTCTAAAAAAATAAAAATAAAAAATAAATCTAACCAATCACGGGTCGTCACATGTCGATGGGACCCGTGAATAGTGAACAGATTCATCAGATTTAATCCTTAGCTAAGGATTTTCATGGTACATATTTTTTTTAAGGAATTATTGTTAAGGACCCTCCATTGGAGTTGGTCTTAGAATCAACAAAAGCATAAGAGAACTCTCCATATTTTTCAAGTTCCCAAAAAACAAAAATCAAGAAAACCAGTATGTATGTATGTAGCAAACCCAAATTGCACACTAGTGAAATAGACTTTTGACAAGTCAGAAATGTATTTCCACCCTGCAATACGAAGAATGACAAGAGTAGAGAATAAAAAAAGCAAACCCAAATCATACTCTAAAAATAAAGACTTTGTCAGGTCAATGGTGAAACTGAGTTTGTTTTTTTGTTCCAGCTTCACCCGGGAAAGAAGGCAAGGTTTTAAGAAAACAACAATACGTCCCAACATCACTAAGACAACTTACTATAATGGATTATATGAATGGAACAGACCTAGCAGCAGTTTATGGAACAAACTGTTACATCAAAGGATACTCAATTAATCTAAGACAAAGTCCTAGAACAATTTTCTTTCTTTTCTCACAAAATTACACGAACCGGAAGCAGGCCAACGCAGTCGCGATTTAAAACGCAATATTTTATAAACTAGGTGTTTTGCCCGCACATGCGGGCTTAATTATCTTTAAATCAATTTAAAAAATTATATAAATAAATGATTATTTGCATTCAAAAAATTTAACCTAAAATATTAAAAAATTTACATGATAAAGTTATTCACAAATTAAAATAAATCTTCTTCTTCCTTTTAAGCTTTAAAAAATCTAGTCTATTTCTTTTTTTATTAATTGATAAAAATATAGAAATTTATCTTTAATTTGAAATACTGAATCAAGAAATATACATTAACAAAATTGATCTTACAGAAAGAATAATATTAGTTTGGATAATAATACAATATATTTAAAATTTATTTTTGTCAAATACCTTTCTTTTTGAATGATCTTTTATTTTATTATGATTAATTCATGTTTAAGGTTTAATTATATAAATAAAATAAAAAATTAATTTCACGTGTGAGTCCAAAGGAGAAAATAACTTCACAAATATATATCATTATATTATATTATTATATTCTTTTAATTTGAAAATATTTACGTATTATAATTTGTTTTTGATTTTCTATTTTCAATTATATACAATTAAAAATTTTACTTTATGAATATTTATTTATGTGTTTTCTGTTTTTGAATTTTTTGACTAAATATATTTTTTGGATAACAACACAATATATATAGGAATTATCTTTTTTATTTTTAAATATATATTTAGATTATGGATAATTCTTATCATTGTTAGTAATTTAAATCAGTTATCTAATCAAATAAATATTAAATTCTTTTTTATCATTGGATGATTTATATATTTATTCATTAAGGGTATAATCGATATTAACCACTCTAACTTTTAACGTGAGAGCTCCATTGCGAAAAATCACTTCGCAAATAATATTCATGTTTAAGGTTTAATTATATAAATAAATAAAAAATTAATTTAACGTGTGAGTCCAAAGGAGAAAATAACTTCACAAATATATATCATTATACTATATTATTATATTCTTTTAATTTGAAAATAGTTACGTATTATAATTTGTTTTTAATTTTCTATTTTCAATTATATACAGTTAAAAATTTTACTTTATGAATATTTATTTATGTGTTTTCTGTTTTTGAATTTTTTGACTAAATATATTTTTTGGATAACAACACAATATATATAGGAATTATCTTTTTTTATTTTTAAATATATATTTAGATTATGGATAATTCTAATCATTGTTAGTAATTTAAATTAGTTATCTAATCAAATAAATATTAAATTCTTTTTTATTATTGGATGATTTATATATTTATTCATTAAGGGTATAATCGATATTAACCACTCTAACTTTTAACGTGAGAGCTCCGTTGCGAAAAATCACTTCGCAAATAATAGTATAGATGAGAAAAAAGACTTATATTGGGCCGGTTTTGAGAAGGCCCATTAAAACTTCTTGATCCATAAAGAATTTGGATCCAATATAACTAATCTATCATCATCACTCGTCACTTTCAAATCGTCAACGCGAAGCAGTCACCAGGAGCCGAAGTTTGAGAGAGAGAGATGAGGTTGTTCGATCCATGGCCAGTGTTCTTCAAGAGGGAATGGAAACGTTGCTGGCCGTTTCTCACGGGTTTCGCCGTAACCGGCGTCCTCATCACCAAGCTCACCGCTGGATTCACTGGTATAGTTTTTCAGATCTGACCAATCTTCTATGAAATTCACAGAATCAATACCTCAATTTATCCGTATTGTGTGGAATTAGATTGGATATATCATTGAGTTTGCTATGTATTGCCTGTCTCGTTGTTTGATTATTGGATCGATCCTTAATTATTGGATTGATTTTGCAGAGGAAGACGCGAAGAACTCAAAGTTCGTCCAACAACACAGGCGGTAATGTTCTTTTACTCTTTTGATCAGTCATTAGTATCTCATTTCAATGTTACATTTACGAAACTGAATGTGATTTGATTTCTATGCATCTGTTAATTGCTTGTGTGATTATTGTAATCCTCATATCATTTCGTGATTTGGTACTGTGAAGTGACTCTCACCTTAATGTCTTAACTAGCATTTTGTCCCAAATCCCAATGCCTTATGTTTGATTTCTCTGCATAATCTGTTTATTGAGCTAATTTGATTCTCTATTATAACTTCATGTAGCTTCACTATAGGTGTTTGATCAGACTCATCTCTCAACCCTCTCAATCCGAACCTTTGATTGGTCTGGTTATAAAACACTAATTATTTTCTTTTTTTTTGGTTTGGGGTTTCAGGTGATCTCTTGTTTATGAAGACTATTGCGATTCCGCTTTCAAACCAATTCTAATAACATCAAAAGAGAGAGAGGGAGAGAGAGAGAGAGAGAGAGTTCTTCTCTATTTTCCTTTCATCTCTTGTTTGTTTTTTTCACAAGCTCTTGAAACTAAGCTTTTATAATAAGCCTTACATTTGTGAATGATTGAATATCACCAACAAGCTTTTTGGTATCAGTTGAAAACTTGGTTTGCTTAATCAATAGATTTCAGTACAAACACCAAATATGGTTTACCATCATTAGTGACAAATCCCCATTACAAGAGTTTAGTTAAGCAATCATAAAATCTAACAACATTCATCATATGTAGTAGCAATAGAACAGAGCATTAACTAGTTTTGAGACAAACCTAATGGATCGAGTTCAAGAACGCTGCAATGTTATAATACCCACCCAAGAGATGAACTAAAGGCCTGAGCTTATTCACCAAACCCCGAAACAGATCATCCCTCTCCTCCCGCGTAACTCTCAATGCCGTGCGCACCACGAAATTCCCAAACTGATCCCTAGCCAGCCTCACAAACCTCTCTTCTCCACACTCCAAAAGCTCTTCCACCACCAGAACCATAGCCAAATCCCTCGCATTCAACAGCTTCTGCACGATGTAGCTCCCATACCTCTTCAACGAAAGCGCAACGCAATGCCCACGTAGATTAACCGCAATGTCACGCGTGCTACGCAAGTCACCTTGGTCAAGCACGTGCTGCACCACGAAGTTCCCGTAATGATGGTAGCTAAAAGACACGGCGTTGATCACCACCGCGTTCAACATATGGCCTCTGATGAAATGATCGTCCAGCACCGTTATGCAACCGTTAAACGCCACGCACCCCTGTGGATCACTCGCAAGTTTATCCACGTGTTCAATAATGTGTGGGAACATCGCCATTTTCTTGACGTTGCTGAACACTCGGAGCCCTTCGAAGACGACGTATGATCCCTCCTTGTTGGTCATGAGGGGGAGAAAGTTGCGGAAGAAAGCGGCCAAGAAGAAGGTGTCCACGTCATCAGATTCACCGAGGAGCTTCTGTAAGCGGGTAGAGCCGTTCTTGTTTCTTGCGATGTTCAAGAAGTAACGGGAGTTCGACGTCAGCAGCCACGCCATCTTTTGGAGATCGGCTGCGTTTAGCTCTGAGATCACCGCTCTGAACTGAGCCGCGCCGTTGTCTTCGTTGCTGGTCATTAAGTTGTGCAAGGATCGCATACACGTGTCGGTTTCTTGAGGTGTGGAGGTGGCCGAGCGGAATGAGTTGATTAAAGATCGATTCTCTTCGGTGATGAGTCTTGGTGGGACGAATCTTGGAGGTGGAGGAGCCATCGGTGAGGAGTCTTGCTCGACGGATGATCTTGTGGCGGCAGAACGGGGCGTTGTCGTCGGAGAAAAGGGATCGGCGCCGTTGGCCAGTATATACGTTAGCTCTTCAGAGCGGAGTTACTCTCTCTCTCTCTGAGAATTATAGAGGGATTTTGCGGTTTGAGTAGATAATGAGAAAAGTGTTGAGATATGTGGAGTGATGATGCCTATTTATAGGAAAGTAAATATATATATATATATGTGTGTGTATGGCGACGTCGCTGGAGTATACTTTCTCTCTTTTTTTTTTTATCTTATTGATTATAATTCATCAAAAATGTTAGGTTATAAAGTTTATACGTAATGTCTTGCTCTTTACGTATGTATTAATTTGCACAAAGAACTCGAAGTTTCTTGCAAAGTCTTTCGATCATAAGTATCCTAACCAGTTTTTTAAGCCCTCCAGTTTCTTAATATCTCTTATAATTTTTGTCATTTTGTAGTAGTCACTCACTAGTCATCAAACGCTAATTCATGATATGGTTTTGGTAATCTTCTATAGCCTAAAGAAAATATGTTTTATGAAGTGAAAATATCAACTTAATAGTGTCTTGACTAGAATTTCTACTCAAAATGTTTGATCAGACTATTGTATATACATTAATAAGTCCTTAAACTAACGCTTTCACAGAATTTTAAATTCTAACCATTCTCAGCACTTTTGCATGGTTGGTTTGAAATTTCAGATAATATGTAGAAGCTGAGAAATACATTCCTGATTACAATCCACGCAGATGCTAGACATATAAAGATCTTTTTAATCTAGCCTCTAGAAGGATCGGGCCAATTTATGCCTTTGAATTTTGACCTCATAGCTTTATTATTTAGAGGACTCCGTTAGCTTCTGTTCCAAGCAACTCGAAATCTATGAACCCTATGGTACATCTTGGTCAAGACTCTCTTGCCCTATTTTCTTGAAGCAACATCGTTATGGCTGATTCAATACACCGTTTGGTAATTTGTGTGTTGTGGGAAATTGAGATACAGACCGTTTTCTTGTAGGGCCTAAAAAACTATAAGTACATAATTAGAAACTACTAACGAAAACTATTAACTAACTACAATAATAAATTATGGAGCAAGATATTTCACAAATAGAGTTCATAGAGTAGATAGGAATTAACTAATCTTGATCCATCCGTTGCATATTGGAAGCATGGTCTTCTCCAACATCACGTGTCAACTCTTGGATCCATTCTTCATCCAATTCTATCAGTATAGATTTTTCTTCAACAGGAGCATGAGGAACGTTGATGGGAGCATGAGGAGCGGATGTTGGTGAATTAATGATCATGACAACAGCTTCTAATCCCTTTGACGCGTATGTTTCCAAGAGATCTCCTATCCAATCATCTTCTTCTTCTTCTATATCCATGGCTTCAACTTGTTCATCCTTCTCGTTCTTGGTTTCTCTTGGTTGGGCGGCCAAACCTATATGTTGTAAAGCATTGAGCATCTTCGACGTTGCAAAGGGATCGACGTTTGCCATTACTGTATATTAAGACTGAAATAAAATTTGTATGAGTGTTAAATATTTGTGGAGTTGTGATGCGTATTTATACTACATATAGTTTATGCTTTGTATTACCTTCTCCCAGTAGGAAAATAAAGGTTTCCTTTCTTCAGTTGTATTTCATATAGAGAATGTTCTTATCGATTGTTTTTTTTTTTGTAACAGATAATGAATGTGGATTGATTATTAATTATGACTAGGATTGGCAAGAAAAAAATTATATATATTCAGGAAATTTATAAATAGCTAGCTAGGGTTCACTTCCATGGACTTCTCTTCAACTCATATCCTGATACTACTCTATGCCGAAAAGCTAATCAATGGTATAATTTTCAATCCTGTTCTTTGTTCCCTATGGAGATTGTAAATTACACTGCAATGCAATGAATGCTTCAAACTCCGAGTGCAATGGTGTGTGAGGCTGCACCTTGTGTTCCTTTCCCTATCAGCCAATCTATCCTTTTAACCTCTTTTTGAAAAAGAAAGTTAATATAGAACCAAAATTAAGTAAATTATAATCCCTTCTATACAAAACATAATTGCTTTCAGGAAACAATATTCTATAAGACACACACGTTCTCAACACTTGTATATATCAGACAAAATCTTTCATGGCTTGAAAGAAAGAAACATATGAAGATCTAAACCAAGCTAAGAAGAGAACAATTCACTGCAACTTTTGTGATTATTATTGCAAGCCAAGATCTTTTTTCAACTGGGCTAGCGTTGCTTCAATCTCATCAATATTGTCTTCGATACTGTTCTTCGTGCTATTACTATTATTCCCTGGTGATGATTTCCCTTTTGAGGAGCTTTCTTCAAAATCAAACCTATCTCCTTTGCTTGAACCATCATTGTCTTCATCGCTTATGTTAAGTTCTTTCTCAAGAAACTCCACAAACTCTTCCCCAATTTCCTGAGAGCAAAGAATGATAAGCCAATACAGGTTTAAGTCTCATTATACAGACATTACCATATTGAAATAGCTAAACCAAATCAGAGGAACCAGGTTTCTTTATAATCTGTTTCTCCTATGAATATGTAGTCCTAGCTACAAAATTTGGGGTTATCAGTAGTTTTATAATGGTTGGGGTTACCGCTAGTTCTTCCCAGAGACTTTTAGGTTTTCCTTGTGAAGATGCACTAGCTTCCCAGCTGTTGAACTCTTCTTGAAGATCTTTGAAGAAATCCCCTGTCAATACCCCCCACATAAAGTGAGCTTCTAAGTAAAACAATTTACTACAATTATAACGTGTCCTCTGCATCAATACTCTGGACGTGCAAAAAAAAAATAACAATCCAAGGAAAAAAAAGAAAATATATTTCAAACAGGTTTGCAATCTACCTATTGTTATTTGAACATCCTTCACGAATTCACCTGCATTATAAAGTGTGCTGTGCATAAGATAACACTGACCTCAATCAACCTAACCTCTCCCCTCAAAATCTGACAACACATGAGAGATAACACAACATGACTTCTAACTACAGCCATCAACAGCATGAAAGGGTACTATGAATTCACATTAAATTTCCAAACATTATGCACATTTACACACAACCCAATCAACCATATGTGCCTAAAACAGTCACCAAACATCAAATGCTCTTGGCTAAATTGAAAATTTAAGTCAAGCCATGGTTCAGCACTATGCTTCAAAGAAAAAAAGTTTCCCACTTTACAAAGCAGTATCCTTTAACAAAAACCACACTTCATTACAACCAAATGAGAGTGTATTCAGGAGTGGTTAATTAGAGTAGTTACCAAGTCCATAGAAATCTTCCTCTACTTGACTATTCCTTGTCCGGCTTGTCTGACCTTTAGAGTAACCCGATCCACTCGTATCCGACCCATACTTACGCCGTGACTCAGAGTTAATCAAAGTAGTGTACGCATGCTTTATCTTCAGAAACTTCTCCTGCGCATTTGCCTTATAACACCAAATAAAAAAAAGTTACATGACTTTATATATACAAAACATATAAAGCATAGTTCCCAATTTAAATAATTACCTCTTTATTAACATCAGGGTGATACTTGAGAGCAAGTTTACGGTAAGCCCTCTTTATATCCTGAGGAGTAGCTGATGGAGACACACCAAGAACCTCGTAAGGAGAGGCTCCCCTAGCTCTCGGTACTATGATTCGATTCTTCCCTCGTCGTCTTTCATCACAACAGCTCCGTTGGTTATAGAATGAACCGCCAGTGAAACAGCGATTCGTTACGGGAAAACCAAGAAATTTTATCGGATAAAGGAATTGAATTTGAGGAAGATGAGGCGAAAGGAAGAAGCTTTGTGGTGTTGGAGACAGAACCGAAGATGTTGCGAACATAGTTTAGTTTAGTTACCTCTTGTCTCAATGGATCGGAAGTTTTTCTTTTTGGATAATCGAATGTTGGTTTTCTCTTAACCGGTTTTCTGGTTTACGGTTTAGTATTAACCGTACCGTTCTTTTTTTAATTAACTAACTTATAACGGTTGAAACAACTCTGTTCTTGTTTGATAAAGTTCGAAGCTTTAATCTTCACACTGAGTAAGGAAGCTTCATGCTCATCTGGTGACATATGGGCTTGCTTACGTGACGCGAGTTTCAGCTAAGCTTGTTGCGTTTTAGGTGAAATGTGGGGAAGTTAGAGATGCTAAGAAGGTGTTCGATGAAATGCAGAAAAGAGATGTTAGTAGTCATTATCAGGACTCTTTTGTTAATCTTTAGTGAAATGAATGAAGAGGGTATAAATTTTGATTCTTTCAACGTTCCTAGCCTTTTTTTAGGAAGATGATACATTGTATGGTGCTCAAGTGTTCGTTTGAGTCTGATGCTTTTATAGCTCTTAGCTCGCTTGTTGATATGTATTCGAAGTTTGGGGAGGCAGAGAGAATGCGAGGAAGGTATTCAGAGATTTGGTTGAACAAGATTTAGTCGTGTTGAATGCTCTATGCTATCTGGTTAAGCTAACAATGGTCAAAAGTACATGAACCAATGAGCTTGGGGAAAGATATGAAGAGAAAGTATATGAAGTTCTTGAGATGATGTGTTTGGATGGTTTTGTCCTGGACGTCTATTATATTATACATAACTTTCAGAATGAGAAAGCTTTTGATGCTTTTAAACAGATTGGAGCTATATGCTTGTGCCGACCAGAGTAGAAACTTGTGGAGGCCTATGTGATGATCAAGGCTATGCCAATGGAGCCAACTTTGTTCGTGTGGGGTAAGAATCATGGGAACATTGAGCTTGCAAGGGTTGAAGCAGAGTTTGAACCAGAAAACTTAGGGAATAGATTGCTTCTGTTCAGTAAGTAGGCCAATGCTGGTAGTTGGGAATGTGTTGTAAGAATGAAGAAGACAATAAAGATGAAGAAGACAAAAGAGAAGAAGAAGTTGAGAAGGTTTGTTGACTTATTAGAGAAAAGAGACAAAGTAAACCTTTAACTGAAAGTCCAGCCACGGGCCACGTGCTTGTGCATGTGCTGGTCCTGGTCCATCCTTACAGGTACAATTTAAAGAAAAGTTTTAAAAGCTTTCGGTTTCATTCTAATTATGAATAAAATCAAATAAAGATCTTCAGACCAGAGGTAACAGCGAATGTCTCAACCTATAAATCAGATTCAGACCAGATCAAGGTGAAAGTATTGAGAGAATGAAGAGAAGGATTGTTTTAGTTCCAGTTCCAGCACAAGGTCATGTCACTCCTATTATGCAACTAGGAAAAGCTCTTTACTCCAAAGGCTTCTCCATCACTGTTGTTCAGACACAGTATAATCGAGTTACCTCTTCCAAGGACTTCTCTGATTTTCACTTTCTCACCATTCCAGGTAGTTTAACCGAGTCTGATCTCAAGAACCTAGGTCCACTCCAGTTTTTGATGAAGCTCAATCAAATCTGTGAGGCTACTTTCAAGCAATGTTTAGGTCAACTGCTGAAGGAACAAGGTAACCATGAAGAGGTTGTTTGTGTTGTCTATGATGAGTACATGCATTTCTCAAAAGCTGCAGCTAAGGAGTTTCAACTTCCTAGTGTTGTCTTCAGTACTACAAGTGCTACTGCCTTTCTCTGCCGCTCAGTTTTAGCCAAAGTCAATGCAGAGAAGTTCTTGATCGACATGAAAGGTAAACAAGATTCTTAGTTTTTTTTCTTTTACCTCTGGTTTGATAAAACGAAATGTCCACCTAACCAATTAAAACGTTGTTTGGTTTTGTCTACTATTCAGATGTAGAAATGCAAGACAAGTTGTTTCCAGGGTTGCATCCACTAAGGTACAAGGATCTACCAACTTCAGCATTTGGACCAATAGAGAGTATGCTCAGGGTTTACAGTGAAACCGTTAACACTGGAACAGCTTCCGCTGTCATCATCAACTCAACAACCTGTCTAGAGAGCTCTTCTTTGGCACGGTTGCAACAAGAACTACAAGTTCCGGTATACCCTATTGGTCCGCTTCACATTGCAGCTTCTGCACCTTCAAGTTTGCTTGAAGAGGACAGAAGCTGCATCCAGTGGTTGAACATGCAGAAACCAAGATCGGTTATATACATAAGCTTAGGAAGCTTAGCTCTAATGGAAACCAAAGATGTCTTGGAGATGGCTTGGGGGTTGAGTAATAGCAAGCAACCTTTCTTGTGGGTGATCAGACCAGGCTCCATACCTCCCTTGGAATGGACTGAGTCCTTACCAGAGGAGTTCAGAGAGTTAGTTTCAGAGAGAGGTTACATTGTGAAATGGGCTCCGCAGATGGAAGTTCTGAGACATCCTGCAGTAGGGGGGTTTTGGAGTCACTGTGGATGGAACTCGACGCTAGAGAGCATTGGAGAAGGTGTTCCAATGATATGTAGGCCTTTTACAGGTGATCAGAAAGTGAATGCGAGGTACTTAGAGAGTACTTGGAGAAATGGGGTTCAGTTGGAGGGGGATTTGGAGAAAGAAGCTGTGGAGAGAGCTGTGAAGAGGTTGCTTGTGGATGAAGAAGGAGTAGAAATGAGGAAGAGTGTAGTTGATTTGAAGGAGAAGCTAGAAGCCTCTGTTAGAAGTGGAGGTTCCTCGTGCAGCTCATTAGACAGCTTTGTTAATTCTTTGAGAACAAAGAATTTCATGCATCAGTGATGCAATCCATGTTCATAGTCAAAAGTTTCATTTAGCATTATGTATCAATTGGCATAAAGAAAAAAAAAAGGACATTATTCTATTTGAAGTGTAATGATTTGGCAATTATCACTAATTAAAAGAGATTATGTATTTTGTTTCTGATTCAAAACAATTCAAAGACTTTCACGGGAAGTTGTAAGTTGTTGCATGTATCATTTACCATCATGAAGATCATGTCCTGGACCTCTCAGCGTCAAATTAAAGGATCTTTATACAACTTGCTTTAGTAAACTTTAAGACATCGTGACAATCATGAACCTGGTCTTGATAGAAGAAATCAATGTCGAATCAATCCTAGATTCTTGCTACTTTTGATGTTAGTATATGAGGTGACATGAATTTATTGTGGATATGAGACATTGATGGCTAAAACTACTAACTCTTCTTGTTGGAATGTCACTTTCTTCCTCTGGTTGGGAGTTTATTGGTGTGTGACCCTCCAACACAATCAAAGGGTATTATTGCTTAACAGAAAAGTCTCAGTAGAGGACATTTACAAGATTGGATAGATTTCTATATGTAGACAAATAATCAGATGATTCAATGATGAATTTAAGAAATATTAGTCAAAGTTAAGATAGTCTTATCTATACTATTATCTATACTATTATTTGCGAAGTAATTTTTCGCAACGGAGCTCTCACGTTAAAAGTTGGAGTGGTTAATATCGTTTATACCCTTAATAAATAATTAAAAAATTTCAATATATAATTAACTGTAAATAAAAACGAATTTCAGTGGTTTAAGATTTATCCTTATCTAAAAATATTTTCTAATGTTTTAAATAGTCTTTATTAATCTTGAAAATAGTTTTATTTATTAATATATAATTAATTATAAATTAAAAACGAATTTCATTAATTTTATAATTATCCTTATCTAATTTGTTTATATTGTGTTATAAAATCTTTATCAACATTGAAAAATAATTATATTTATTTGATAATTATAGATAAAAAACAATTTATATTGTGTTATCCAAAAAATTAATTTTCATCTTATTTTAAAAATAAAACTAAAAAAAAAATTCCTACATATTATTTTCTATATATTTTTATGTATATCAGAGTATTTCAAATTTATTTACGCAATAAAATATAATTTATTATACTCAAAATTTTTTCATATCTTAAAATTTGATATTAATTTATTACTAAATATTTTAACTTATAAGTGCTTTTAAATTTAATTTATGTAATGAAAATTATTATATTATGATGAAAAACATAATATATATAAAAAAAATATTATTAAATATCTTGAATATATAAACAATAAATTATTTTAATGTTACTTAAACTGATTACATATTTATTTATGGATATTTGTAGAATCATTAAGCCCGCATGTGCGGGCAAAAACACCTACTCTGATAGTGTTTAAGAAGTGTGCTTATCACTACAAGAAAAAATAGATATTGTCACAATATTTTTAGTCACAATATACTAATATTTCGTCACAAATTCTCTATTGTGACGAAAATGTGACTATTTCTTAAAGGTCACAATAAAGTAGTCACAAATTTAATTTAGTCACAAAAATGTCACAACTATAGAGACGATTACAATCGTGTCAGTTTTGTTATAAATTGTTACGTGATAAAAGTAGTCACAAAACGACACAAAGAGTGACACAAAATTATGTTGTAAATACGTTAAATATTCGTGGTAGTTATCAAATACTCACCAAATAATTTGGTTAGGGCTTTTATATTTTTTTTACAAAAAAAAATTTATATTAGAAATTAATTAAAATAATAATTTAATTTAATAATAAATTAAACATGATTATTTAATAAAATTAAATTTAATGAAAAAAAAGTTGTAACTAGAATATATTTTATTGATTATCTGAACCACATATTGGTTAACTGGTTACAAAAAAAATTAAGCTGGTCTAGGTGACCAATAACAATACAAACCAAAGCAAAGAAAATTAGGGTAACACTGGTCTCCTTTGCCTCCATCAACTACAGCAACCAAACGGCATTTTTAAGACTACACCCCCGCTGTCCTTGTATTCTCGTTCATCATTGGCACTGGCTTTTCATATCTTCCTGATGAAAGCCTCGAATAGTGTCGTCGCCATATCCGAAATCTAACATCAAATCAAATAAAATCAAATCAACCAATCTGGAATCTGAGAAAGTAACAAATCAAAACGAAAAAGAAATGAAACTGAGAGAGAGACATACAACAACTTGACCATTTGTGTTACGTACGGATCCGTATAGTCGTTGAGAGGCAGTAGGGTCATGAGTTGATACCTTTAATGAGGGAGAAGAGCATGCCTCTGAATCTGAAACATTATAAACTAGAATTGCAGAGAGATAAAGAGAAAGAAAGGGATATTCTAAGGGAGAAGAAAATGAGAGAGATGAATGAACTGAAACAAAGAAAGAGTGGGTGGGGAGGCTACACGACATAAAAAAGAAAGAGATAGAGGAGTAAAGTAGGGTTCTGAGATAAAGTATATTCTCAAAACGCAGTTAAAAAAAAAAGAATATTCTCAAAACGTGGGATAACTACAATAGTTTAACGGCAAACAAAAAAAAAGAAGAAAAATTGGAGCCAAAACGAGTTGTAAGTATTCTCAAAACGTGGGAGAACTATTTTTTTATTTATTTTTGTTACATCTTGATTAATTCTGTGTAAATATATTTAATTGTTATATGTTGGTGTAATAACTTATAAATGAAATTTTATGATAGTTGAAAAAAAAAATATTAATACAGAATTTAGAGTTTAGGGTATAAGTTTATTTAAAAAAGAAATTTGGGGTATATGGTTTCATGCATATGTTTAACGTTGAAGGTTTTTTTATTAGGATTCATGATTTAATTTCTATGACTAAAACTAAAAGTCTAAGTTCAGAGTAGAGTTAAGATTTAGAATCTGGAGTGAGGGTATATGATTTGAAGTTTGTTTTTAGGGTTTGGTGTTAAGATTTATAAAATATTAAAATGTTCTTATTTGTATATATCATATTTTAATATGTAAAATTTTTAATTTATATTATATTTTTTAAACTGAAAAGTATTAATTTTTATATGTAAATGTTTAAATATTTGTATATAATTAGTGATTATATTTTGGTTATTATTTATGATTTTAACTACAATAATTTAAAGTGTCAAGGGTTATCTTTTATTATTTAGGGTTTGGAGTTGGGGGATTACAATTTAGGTTTAGATTTAAAGTATGAGGTGAAGGTTTTTTAAGTTATGATTGAAATTTCAAATGTTGTATGACTGTAAAATATTAGTTTAAGTATACTATAGTAATTATAATTTATTACTTGAAGTGTAAGCTGTAATCTTTATAATTTAAAGTTTGGAGTTTAGGGTATGGTGGGTTTTGATTACTGATTTAAGATTAATGTTTGAATAAGATCAAATTTTGAGTGAATTTTAAGCATACGATTTTTATAAGTGACAAAATTTAGTAGTATTCTATCTCACAATTTATGACTAAATTAAAAATCACCACCTCAGTAACAAATTGAGATGACATATGATTACAAACCTAGGTTACCGTGGGTGACATTATGGAAGTCACGAAATTGTATCTAGTAGGGACGAGTTTTAGTCTCGATGCCGTAACATTATTGTGACTAACCACTTCGTCACACATTTGTAACTTTTTGTAACGATTTTTTGTTACTTATACATTCATCACAATATTGTGACAAAATAGTTACGATTTTCGGACCAAAAAACTTAGTTACTATCTTGTAAGTAAATAGTCACAATATTGTGACAAAACTTTTTGTCATAAAATTTAGTCACAATGTTCACTTTTTTTTGTAGTGTATAGTGTATTGAAAAAAGCATTCGCCTAAGGCCTCTGATTAATATGACTTTTTTAGGGTTCCAAAATTTAAAATAATTATTAGTATAATGGTTTAGACTTGTTTAAAAAAAAAATTCACGAGAGTTGACTAACTCACCTTCTAAATCCATGTATCTTTTTTGCTATATGACGTTATATAGCATATTTACGTAATAAATTTATTCTTGTATAGTGTTAAACTTGTGTATTTGGTGAAAATGATATAGTAAGAATTTTCTTTTTTTTCACAAGAAATTTGTTTCATTATATAAATAACTTTTTTATAACTTGTCTTTTAGGCCTCTAAAACCCTTTGCACGACACTGAGTGTTTTCATTATTCAAAGAAAGAAACAACTAACACGTTAAACAACACATGAGACGTAGTCTTGAATTTAAGATGCTACAAGTGATAAGCAAAGAAGCTTTGCCTTAAGTGAATGGGGATCATCATGAAACTAGTTCATTCACATCCGCTTACTTGTTATTAGGATGTTAAACACACACTAAACTAAACAACTGAGTAATTAAGCAGTAAAAGGGCACAATAGCCCAACACCTTTTAGATCCGTTTACTTGTTATTCACGCTACCACCACCAACAACTGAATGAGAGGTCACCAGACTCACCACCATGAGTCCAAGCTTATTCTACTGCATGCATCACACATGAGTTTCACGAGCGAGCACGATTACGGAGGTAAGCTATTCTTACTATGTGAACATGATTACCAAAAAAAAAAAAAAAACTACTACACACCTAAAAAAACTATTTTTTACAAAATCTCATAAAGTCATTTCCACAAACTTGGCAAACAATCAATGTCTTTTAATTAACGAGCCGGGCCGTACAAAAGCCCGCCCATTTGATTTACATCCAGCCCAACAATGTCTAATCTTCCATATATCTTCGCCTCCGAGTCGCTGGTTTCGCATCGCTGCAGGACTCAGTAGCACCAAACTCAACCCCCCAATGTCTCACTGAGTCCACCCGGTTGCCTCGTATCGCAAGAAAGCTTGTTCGATCTTCCTCTCCTGGTCTCGTTTCTAATCGTAAGTCATATCTGTTATTTAGACAGATCCGAGATAAGTAAATGTTTATTGATCCCTTCAGATCTAATCGTATAAACTCCCTTGCGATGTTTAGGTAATGGAATCGTTTCTGAAACCCTAATTTAAGAGGCTTTTCTAAAGTAGCAATGGTTAATGATGGTGAGTGGACTGTGGTCTTACCTAGTAAACGAAGACAAGGAAGAAGAAAACCAAAACCTAAGATTCATGAAGAAGAAGAAGAAGAGAAGCCATGGAAGTCAGATGATCTTGAGATTGATCTTCAAAGGCAAGCAAGAGTGAAGCAAAAGATGGAAAACTCTATCAAGAAAGTAGAGAGCTCAAAATTCTACACTACATTCTTACAACAGCTCAAATCCCCCGAGGTTTCCGACCATTTTCGCCTCGTGTTAGGGGCAGAAACACAGCTTCAGATGGTGATGTATGGTGTAGGAAGCATAGAGTCTTACGAATCTCCGAGGTTTCAGCTCAGCATTGCAATCTTGATAAAGAGAGAGTTTGATTGGGTTGGTGACATCGAAGTGTTCGATCCAGTCCTCTCCGCGACTGAATCTAGTGTGATGGAATCTCTTGGATGTACGGTTTTGTCTGTGAATGAGGAAGCTCGTAGGGAGGCTTTGAAGCCTACTCTTTTCTTCATGCCACACTGTGAGACTAATCTGTATAACAATCTATTGAAAACAAATTGGAGGATGGATTGTTTATCGAAAATCGCGTTGTTTGGGAACAGCTTTCAGATGTATGAGGAGCAAGTGACGTTGGACCCGGAATTCATCGGTGCCATCAAACGGATTGTAGCTGCACGAAGAGTCGCTAGTGAGTTTGCTGTGGATACTGTGTGTGATGATTATTTTCCAGCGTTCCATGATTCTAGCTGGCATTTTTTCAGTTCCGGTTTGGATTCGGAGCTGCCATTGTTGGTTTCAGAGGGATTATAGATCATTGTTTCTTTGCATTTGTCGATGAATTGTTGAATTATCATTGACCTACCGTTATTGCTATCAATTTGTGATTGAATATTGCTTGGAATAATAATGAATATGTTATAACAAATTAATATGTACCCCTCACTCTGTTGTAGTAAGTTTTCACAGCTAAGTGTATGTTCTCGGTTTAGATTTGTGTTTTGTTGTGACTCCAAGTTGTGGTAATTAGTTGGTACAATTGCAATTTGCTAGGTGCCAACAAATGAGAGGAGACAAAAAATTAGTTGAGCAATATCAGTCTTTGTTTTATTTTAATGTTAAAAAGACAATTACAAAAGCTCTCATGTATGTATAATGTATTTTAATCATCATGGCACCTACATACTGTAGAAGCCGGAAAACCGGATCGACATGAACGATATAAGAAAGACGGAGTTAAGGAAATAAACGATTATATAAGACATGGAGGCGAGATAAATCTCTTTCCTTAACTCTTAATATTCGCTCCGTAGTGAGACGAAACTGTACGAATATCGAGTCCCAGGATACAACCAAGGCAGACGAATCACGCTTCACTCGTGAAA